TTTGGCCATGTTTGGCTGATGAGAAGACTCAGATATGTCTTCATCTTCCTGCACTCGGGAGAGGCAACTGCGGCCCACTCACTAGCTTTGTGGGGACCGAGTAGCAGGTTGATGGTAGTGTTCTTGAACTTGACGGTGCCCATGCCAGTCCCACCCACCATAGCCCTCGTTTTGGCAGTGGCGGCAGCTCCCTGGCAGGACAGTTAAGAAACATCCGTGCTGTTCCTCCGGCCCTGGTAAAATTCTGTAGGCCTCTCCTTCTTAGCATGGAATCCCTTGCTGCTTAAATGACTGGCGTGTTCTGTAACTCCTGCAAAACACCCTGCATGACTTAGAGAGTGGACGAGAAAAGCGGCCCCATACTAACCCTGACCAGCTCAGGGGAATCCTGCGTAGCGGCTTTACAGACTCAGAGACCCAAAGTGACCACGAGGGATGGTGTGAGGTTAAACCTCTTAACGACTAGCAAGTCATGGCGGGCGGTCAGGCCCTTGCTGTTACCTTTCTTGACAGAGGTCGATTGTTATCTTAAACTGAGCCTGTCTATTTAGTCTTTTTTGCAACTAAGATAACATACCTTTGGAATGTCAAGGTGACTTCCCTTTTCTGGACCTTCCCTTGCCCTCCAGGCAAAACTACCACTCCTGGGCACAGACCACTAATCCTCATTGTTACTACTGTGTTAATTACTATTAACTCCACTGTGACCACCCATGTAAAGGAAGTGTCTATATATATTTCCTTTTTACCCAATCCCAGAGATTCCCCCCACCCCCACCCTCCACTGTGCTTCCGCCCGCCACCCGCCTCCCTAATCTATCACCAATGAATTTCATGTAACCCCCTTAGGTCTTCTCCTCTGATTCTAATGTATAAAATAAGTGGTAAAAATGCCATTTTCCCCGATCAATTTTTCAATCCGTTGAGATTTTGCTTCCCAGTCATTGTTATCAATTTGGCTAAATAAACTCACAAAAATTCTTACAGGTTTGCACATTTCTCACATTGACAAGAGCAATGACACCGGAGGGACCCAGACTGTGGGCCTGTTTTTCCAACAGCCATTTCTGCTGCTGCTTCCGGGCTGACGAGGCCCCTCCCACAACAGAGGCTGAACTCTCCCAATACCCATTTTCCCAGCATTCCCTGCAGTTCAAAGTGGCCTTGGGACTCAGTTCTGGCCAGTGGGAGCTGAGAGGGTATCTGTGGGGAGTTTGAAGAAGGGAACTTCCTGGGAAAAAAAGGGCACCTACAGGAGTGAACACCCTTTGCTTCACTTCTGGGTGCTGTTGAAGGAGGGTGTGGTGTTTAGAGTTGCGGCAGGTACACCTGTCCACGAGACTCCCAAACCAGCCCTGACAAAGCTACCTCTGCCTTCTGTGCTAACTGCCAAGTATCAGCAGCTCTCTCCCTCTCAGGCAAGCAGCAGGATCACAGCTCACTGAACTCTGCTGGCTGGGTGGAGCCATGCAACTAGTTCTGGTCAAGGGGCCCAGAGGTATCACTTCCAGGATGGATTGTTCAGTCATCAGAAGACCTCTAGCTCTTTCCCTCTGCTACAAGGAATGGCAACCTCTAGGACGGTGGCTGCTCTAGCAGCATGCTTCCTTGAGTAATCACAATGAGCAAGGCTCTCTGGCCAACCTGCAACACACATGTAGAGTGAACAGAAACAGTCGCAAAGGGTGGAGCTTCAGCAGCCCTTTTGGACCATGAGACAGCCTTGACAATGAACATCACGTGTTGAGGATGGATATGACTCGTGAAGGACAGAGGAAAAATGAAAGGAAGAAGGGTCATTGATGACATGTGAACCTAGACTTCTGGACTTTTTAATGGGAGAGGAATGAGCTTCTACCTTGCGCAGGTCACTGTTATTGCTCTTCCTATTACGCACAGCAAAATGCAACTCCTAACCGATGCAGAGGGTTTCTAGGAAATCTCTTGTTTTTCCTGATGAGGACAGATGTAACTGGCACCCTGTTGGCCCCATTCTTCCTGCCTCAAAAAGTAGATTCTACTATGGCTGGAGTGGAGCTTTATTTATTTATTTATTTTTTTACAGTTTTGGAGAGAAAGAGAACAGGGGAGAGAGGAAGAGAGAGAAATAGCGATCTGTTGTTTTATTTATTTATATATTCATCAGTGATTCTTATATGTGCCCTGACTGGGGATTGAACCCACAACCCTGGCCTATCGGGACAATGCTCTAACCAACCGAGCTACCTGGCCAGGGCTGAAGCAGTTATTTAAAGGCTGTTAGGGCAATCACTGTGGGGTCTCAGTGATCCAGGCCTTCACATCAACAATCAAGATCAGCAGCCTCATACCTCTTGGAGTCTTATGAGATGAAAGAAACAAACTCATTTGCTTAGCCTACGGTCAACCTCGGTTTTGTGTTCCTTGAAGCTGAATGTATCCTGAATGCACATCGACCTTTTCTACTGAAGCCCACCCTATGGATTTCTGTTAACTGGCAATAAGAGTAGCAGGGAGGACAGCAACATCCTTGGTTCATAGGCCAGCATTCAATCCACTGAGCCACACCAGCCACGGCGAACAGCAATATTCACAAAAACACTCGGAGTGCCTTCCAGGTTGGTGAAAAATGCAAAATCTAGTTGTTTCTGCCCCAACTCCGTGGGCGAGGGTGGCGGTGGTGGTGGATTCTGGAATCTCCATTTGCTCCCACCTCGGTCATCTAAAACCCCGTTGCCCCAGATGAAGCTTCGCCCTCCCTCCCTGGCCAATCGCATCGGCCCCCTTCCTGGCCTTCCAGCCTCCAATCTCTCTCCATTCGGTCCTCTGGTCCATCTCCCACATGGCCCCACGAGGGGCTTTGGACACTCACACCCTTCTCTTCCCATGGCTCTCCCAGGGCCTCTAGGACGGGGCCCAAGCTTCTGGGCCTGGCATTTCGGGCCCAACCCCCTTGCCAGCAAACTGCTCTACAGAGACATCCCACTTCCCTGTGCCCGGAAACACACTCCCCCCCGCCCCCCACCGCTTCTCGTCTTCGGAATCCCAGTCCAAACGCCTGCTCTGGAATCCGTGCGCCTGCCTTCAAACCCAAGTTCCAACATTTCCCAGCTTTTTTGACCTCGGAAAAGGGGCTCCCTCTCATTGTGCCTCAATTTCTCAAAAACAGCATAGGGGTGAGGGCTTAGGCAGGGACTGGGACGGACTCTTCTCTGGGTGTCAGCACCATCCAGCACACGGCCTGGCAAGAAGCAGCCCCACGGGAGGACTTAATGGAAAAGGCCACATCTCGTACTGGGGGAGGAGCCTCAGGCAGGTCCTGTTCTCTCAATGGCAGTGGCCGCAGGACTGCCCCAGAGGAAAGCCACACTTCTGCAAGTTCTCGTTGGCTGACAGCCCAGGGAACCCAAATCCACAGGCTGAGCTGTCCTCTTGTGTCCTGGCAGGGCTCTCCCAAGAAGAAAATGGGGTGAAGGAGCAGCTGTTCCCATGACCATGAACCTCGTGGTATGTGCTTTCTCTCCATGAATGGGCCTCTTCAGCCCCATTTTGCAGGGACGAGGAAACCAAGCAGGGTCACATCTGCCCCTCGGGTAGGTCTGGGACTGTACCCAACTCCTCCAAATGCCTTCTACTCCCTGGACCCAGGAAAAAGCAAGTGGAAAAGGGAAGCCTACCTTCTTGGAGAAGAGGATTTGGGCGGCATCTCCACCCTCCTCTACGGGAGCCCAGTGGAGGAGGACATCATTGTCCTAAGGGAGAGAGGGAGGGGTTAGAGAGGCTCCCCTCCTAACTGCCCAAACCACATTGCCAAACTTCTTCCCCGCTTTGGACTCTCAGCCTGACAAAGCGCTGCCTCTCTCTCCAGTCCCCACGCAGCCTTCCTAACGCCCCACGGCTGACAACCAGGCCCCGCTCCCACAGATGCAGCCTCCATTCCACTCTGGGCCCACCTTCTCCACAACACGGATGACCCCGGCGATGAGGGAGTCCGGGTCCTGATGCTTCTTGGCACTGGTGTGCAGGTACACGCCTCCCTTCTCAAACACCACCTGAGGATGGGAACCAGTGAGGGGCGGGGCCCAGAAGGGAGCCAATGCGAGCGAACCTAGGGAGTGCTATTCCCGCCCGCCCCTCACACCGCTGGGCAGGGCCCGATGAACCATTTCCTAGGGCAGAAGACTGGGAGTGGTGAACCCTAAATAACAGCAGGCAAGCGAGGCGTTCGGAGGTGGAAGGAGGAGGAGAGGGGGTGGGGGAGACTGTATTCCAAAAGGGGCGGAGCTCAGGAGAGTGTATCAGCGGCCCAGAAGGCAAGGCCAAAAAATATGGGTCTGCCCTAGGGCAGTGGAGGAAAGGGAGACAGCGCGTTTACCAGGGAATGGTGTATCTGTTAAGGATCGGCTGAGCTCTCAGATCCCTGGCATGGCCTGAGGGAAAAGCCGACCACCGCGGGGTGGCGTTTCATAGAGAAGCGAAAGAATGCTTCTTCAGCGCTTACCCTGTAGCCGGCTCCCTCCATAGCCGCGGCCGAGGACCCACTGACCCGCCTCCCTCCTTTTCCGGGTCAACGTTCTGTCACATCCGGATAGGAGACTCCCCTAAACTCCGGACAGTGGTAGCACCCTTGCCTGTTTCAGAAGAGGAGTGGATGTAACTATCTTTCAGAATGGGGTGGTTGAGCCTGAACCACGTGGGTTTAATCACAAGGCGCAGATGGTAAAGGTGGAGCCAGTCAGCGAGGGTGCGCAGGCGCGGTGCTACCGTCCTCTCCGCGAAGTAAACAAGGGGGCGGGTCCAAGAGCTCCACCCCCTCGCTCAGGCTGTCCAAAACGCCTACTACTTTCTCCATGTTGTATACTGGCATCGAAGCCGAAGAGGTGCCATTTTGCTTGAGGGCACGGATAAGGACGATTAGCTGAGATCATGTTAACGCGGGGCAGTCCTATCCCTCTCCGGGGCGCAACAGCGAGGTCCTGGAAAGGAGAAACCGAGAAAGGAAAAGAAGGTGAGAAAAGCTGCACATCACAACAGGCGTTGAGAGATTCGGGTTAACGGTATAAAGACGTCAGTATCTCCGGGAACGAAGCGGTCCGAGACCAATTCTTGAGTCACCATGGAGAGAAAGCCGTGTGAGCCGCCATGTTGAAGTCGGGCAAACTGAAGCTAGAAAGGCTATCTTGGATCTTTGCCAGTCTTGGTTCTGAAGGGAGATTGGCTGGAGGGCCCATATACCTTCTGGGCAAATGATGTCAGGCTGGTGGTCTGACATGTCATTAACGGGCACTGCTTTCGTCCACTTGTGGCAGAGTATGAGGGACGTCAGATCGGCTGTCTTAATTTACTGTGGTTATGAATGTGTATGTGCCGGCCGCCATATTTCTTGGGGTCAAATCGAAATGGTCGAGGCTTGTTTCCGAACAAGCTGAAGCCTTTTCCAGTTTTTCGTATGGATATCCTGCTTTCGCCAGTGCCCCATTGAGATGTTGTGAAGCCCTTGCTGCCATCTTGGTCTTGGGCAGCCATTACTGGGGCTGCGGCTTGTGCAGCGTGGGGGCGAGCTAGCTACGCGGAAGTGACGTACGGCGCCGCCATGTCTTTTGAGGGCGGCGACGGCGCCGGGCCGGCCATGCTGGCTACGGGCACGTGAGTGGAGGCGGCGTTGTGTACTGCGGTGTGGGGAGGTTTTGGCTGTCCCCAGTACAGGGGCTCTGGGAGGATGAGCCACTCTCGGGAAGGATAGAGCCTGAGTAGATCAAGGGACAGATCGTCCAGCGATCCTACGCTGAGGGCTGGAAAGTGGTCACTGACGTGAACCGTCGTCTCTGAGCTGAGGCAAAGCCTAGACAGCCTTGTCTTTCGGTATTCAGACCCATTAGGGCTCTTACTTAGACTGTGGACCGTGTCCCTAGGGTCGGGGGTTGCTCGGGGCGAGGGCTGGGGGGTCTCGGAACGCCCCTCACCCGTCTAAAGGCGGGACTTCCGGCTCGGCTCCTTACCTGGGCGGGATTTCCTGTTTTTATCTGGAGAAGTGGGTCTTGGCTGGCCCCCGGGCGTGCTGCGGGCGTCCGTGAGCGGCGGAGAAAGACCCCAGACATTCACCCGTTCCCCGGCTACGGGGTGCATCCTCGAGTTCCTCTCATCTTCTAGCGGAGTTTGGGGTGGCCCTTCCAGTTTGACAGGTGGTTAGAGGGGAGCTTCACTAGCATCCTCAATTCCTTTGGCAACTTTTCCTCTTTCCTCACCTCTTCCGGGAGTCAGTTTCTTCACTTGACCACCTGACCTCCTCCTAAGAGGCCAGTCACCTTAGCTCTTCCTCCCCCTCCCGTGGGGGACAGTTCTCATTTCCTAGTCTTCTCTCTCTGATCCTAAACTGCTCCCTTTGAGGGGAAGGGAGAAGTCCTCCATCTCTCAGATCTTTGAAGGACGCAGGACTTCCTCCAGAAGCTGTAGGGGTGGGAGACTCCCGGAGGCTTGGTTTCTTTCCTTTTGGGTAACCGACTGCAGAGAGTCCCCCGGAGAGTCTGCTGTGCCCTCCTCCTCCTTGTGCATGCTCTCTGAGGCTGGTGCCGGGGCGGGGGCGGGGGGTCACCTCTATTTCTTTCTTTGCATCCTTCTGGTTATGCTGAGATCTGGGACAGAGAGGAGTTTAATCCTGGTGTCCCAAGAAATGAGAGCCCCACGCCTAGCACTGCTAAGCTGTGTGACCTTAGAGCAGTCATTTCCCTGCCCTGGGCTTTCGTTTTCTCCATCATATGGGGATGACTCAAGGAGTGACTAAGAGACCCTTAGCACCTCCCAGTTCTTTTAGGTTTGGAGTTGGGCAGACAGGTTGTCAGCCCTGTCTCTGCCCTTTCTAGCTGTGGGCCCCCAGCCAGTGCCTGGAGGTCTCCGAGCTTCTCTTTCCCCGCCTGGCGTAGGAGATCGTAGGTGTTTCCTCACAAAGCAGACAGGGTGGCATCCCCATATCAGAAAGGCTCTGGCTGCAGCCCGCCGCATCCAGGGCCCAGCTCTCCGCTCCCTCTGTCTGACCCTGGTCCCATAGTGACCTGGGCATCAGTTACAGGTGTAAAGGGGGAGGTGTGAACAGCTGCTCCCTCATTCGGCTGGTGAGAGGGTGGGATGAGAATGTGGATGACACACTCAGGTCCCTGCCTGGCACGTGACAAGTGCCGGACAAACTTGTTACGGGGTCTGTCAGGAAAGGGGCTGGTTGTGCCCTCACTGTGTGTGGCCTTGGCAAGGGCCACGGGAGCTCTGGTTACTTCACTTTGCGACTCCATCTTTAGGAAAAACAAAAACTTTGCTGGCTGAGTCCAGGCAGATGGCACCTTGCACACCATTTTCTTTTTTTTTTTAAGGTTTTTTTTTTTTTTTTTTTTAATTTTCATCCGAGGAAATTTTCTCGTTGCTTTCAGAGAAAGAGGAAGGGAGAGGGAGAGAGACAGAAACATCGATGGGTTATCTCCATACATGCCCTGACTGGGGGGTCGGACCCACAACCTTTAGATTTACAAATAACGCTCCAACCAACTGAGCCACACTGGCCAGGGGCCGCACACCATTTTCCAGAAAGTTCCACTCTCAGGCCTGGCATGTGCTGGGCAAGCCTGCTGGTGACTCAGACGAACGTGACAGGCCCGCCCTCAAGGTCTCCCACGCTGGGTGGGGAGATGGACGTGGACCCACTGCCCCTCAGAGAGAGATGTCCTAGCATGGGGGTCACTCAGATGTTGGGGGAGCCAACAGGGCAGGGTTGGGGGGACACCTGATTTAGAGGTGAGGAAAAGAGTAAGTAAATGTAGGACAGGGTATCCCAGTAGGGAGGCCAGGCACTTTGATGAAAGGCCTCAGGCCGCCAGAGGTCTGGAAGTGGCTGCACCCGTGTCCTGGGGCTGCTGGGGAGGGGCAGGGTCCGCGGGCAGTGCAGGCAGACCCTGCGGGGCCAGGAGGCTGGGATGGTGGGGGGCGGGGCAGCACTGTCCAATAGAGAATACAGCCATGCATCTAATTCCAAAATTTCCAAATGCCACACTAAAAAAAGTAAAAAGACAACAGAGGAAATTCGTTTTCACTATATATTTTATTTAGCTGATATATCGAAAATGTCACCATTTCAATACGTACCACCGTCAGATTGCTCATGAGAATATCTTACGTCCTAATTTTTTTGTACTAAGTCTTCAGAACCCAGTGTGGCTTTCACATGCACGGCACCCCTCATTTTGGGCGCCACATCTCAAGTGTTCCTTACTCACCTGTGGCTGGTGGCCCCCAAGGACAGGGCCATGAGGAGAGTTGGGGGCTGCAGGGAAAGGACAGGGCAGGAGGGATGGAGCTGGGGGTTTGAGGTGTGGAGGGGAAGGAATTCTGGGGGAATGGTGGGTTTGGGGGACGATGCTGAGCTCAGCTGGAGCAGGTCGATGGGAGGGCTGGGGAGGGCGTCGGGGAACAGGTGGACGCCCGGGGCAGAGTGGGGACGGCGCCGTCAGCCCAGCCCCAGCCCCCTCTGTCCTGCTTTGCCCCACAGGGCACGGATGGATTCAGGGCGCCCCGAGGAGCTGTGGGAGGCCGTGGTGGGGGCTGCTGAGCGCTTCCGGACCCGGACGGGCACGGAGCTGGTGCTGCTGACCGCCGCCCCGCCCCCGCCCCCGCGCCCGGGCCCCTGCGCCTATGCAGCCCACGGCCGCGGGGCCCTGGCCGAGGCTGCCCGCCACTGCCTCCAGGACATCGCCCTGGCCCACAGGGCTGCCACCGCTTTCCGGCCCCCTGGGCCCCCACCAGCACCACAGCCGCCCAGCCCTGGAGGGAGCCCGCCACAGCCTGCACTGCCCAGGGAGGAAGACAAGGAGGACGAGGACGAGCCAACAGAGACGGAGACCTCTGGGGAGCGGCTGGGGGTCAGTGATAACGGAGGTGAGAGTTGCAGAGGGCAGGGACTGGGGTGGCTCTCTGCTGGGCAGGTGACCTCTGCAGTGGGTTTCCTAGAGGGCTGCGACTTGCTTGTCTGAGGTCCTATGGAAGCCGGAGTCCCAGAGAGCCTGGGCGCCAGGCTGGCTTGCCTGTGAGTCGCCGTGGGACCACGAGCGAGTCATCTTCCCTCTCCGAGCCTCAGGTTTCTTACGCTATGTCCTGGGTCCGGCTCTGTGCTGGGAGGTGCTGGGCACAGACACAAAGCCACCCCGTGGGACTCCGGTTTAGCCGAAGAACTGGAGTCCTCACATGGGGCAGCGCCATTTGGAGGCTCGGGGAGGGAGGCCTCCCAGGCCGGAAGAATGAACAGCACAGGATTTATTTCCAAATCTGGGTGCCTGACGCCTGTGAGAGTAAAGATAGGAGTTGAACAGTAGTCGGGGACGCAGGCAGCAGCTGGGGAAGCTGGGGAGGGAGCAACTGGCAGCTTTGGGGGGGTGTCTGGAGGCTGGATGCCTCCCAGAGAGTGGACTAACGTTAGGGCTTTGAAGAGTGAATGGGATTTCTAGGGGCTTAGTAAACAGGAGCTGCTTGCTTGTTATCGTTACTGCCAGTAGCTGGTTTCCAGGCTGCTGCTGGAGAAAACCTGCCTAGGGTTAAGGATACGGACTCCGGAGCCAGTGGCCTGGGTTCAGGTCCCTATGACACCATGTAGTAACTGTAGAACTTCAGGCCTGTGGCTTAATAACCTCTCTGTGCCTTCAGGTCTCCATTTGTCAAACAGGGATCATCATAATTTCATATCTGTTTTTTTGTAAGATTTTATTTATTTATTTTTAGAGAGAAGGGAAGGGAAGGAGAAAGAGAGGGAGAGAAACAGCGATGTGAGAGAGAAACATCGATCTGTTTCCTCCCTTACATGCCCCATCCCGGCGAACTTGCAGCCCAGGCACATGTGCCCTGACTGGCATCAAACCTACGACCTTTCACTTTGCGGGACAATGCCCAACACACCAGCCGGGGCAGTGATCTCATGATCCTTTTAACCTGTATTTTGAGTCAGTTCATCCCAAACAGGCCGTACAGATTTCCTATTCAACCAGTTGCTTTCACCTGAGGGTGTGACAGAGAGAAACTAGGTTCGTTTCAGCTGATGGCCAAGCGGCTAATCCGGGAAAGAGGGTTTGAGGCAGAGGGAATAATGGTTCCAGAAACGCCGGGGCTTGCGAGGGCCTGGCCAGTGCAGGGGGCAGGGAGGCGGTGGCAGGCGGCCGGGGCGCATGGCATGTCTGATGGGCCTGGGCCTCGTCCGCCACGCACAGGGCTCTTTGTGATGGACGAGGATGCCACGCTCCAGAACCTGCCCCCCTTCTGCGAGTCAGACCCTGAGAGCACAGACGGTGAGTGTCCTCCGGTTGGGGGTCGGGTGGGTGGCTGGGATGTAGGTGTAGGGACCAAGGCTGAAGTCTACTCTTCCCCAGATGGCAGCCTGAGCGAGGAGACCCCCGCTGGCCCTACAGCGTACTCAGTGCCCCCGGCCTCAGCGCTGCCCACACAGCAGTATGCCAAGTCCCTGCCTGTGTCCGTGCCTGTCTGGCCCTTCAAGGAGAAGAGGACAGAGGCACGGTCTTCAGATGAGGAGAATGGGCCGGTGAGTGGCAAATGGGAGAGGGGAGGGGCAGGGTGGGGAGGGCCCAGAGCCACCTCCTCCAGGAAGCCCTCAGGCATGGATGCCACACTTGATAGGATTAATCCTACCTCCTTCCTCTTACCTCGAAGAAGGAGGGAGGTTCTTGGGCCAGAGCCATACAGTGTTAACTGTTGGAGCCTTATAATGTGTCCCAGTGCCTTGTAGAGAAAACCTTCTCCTTTCCAGGCACAGCTGCATTTATAGAATACATGCTGCAAGCAGGGCGCAAGGATTTTGGTATCCCCTTCAGATGGGGAAACCGGAGTTCAGAGGTGTCCGATCATCTTCCATCCTCCCACTCCAAATGTTCCTGGCCCCACCTTGCCCTCTGTTCCTCCCATATGACCCTGCGTGTACAGTTCCTGGGATGGCCTGGGTGAAGCAGAGGGGAAACTGAGGCACTGAGAGTACACAGGACTTCCCAGTACCCCAGCGTGTAAGGGGCAGAGCTGGGATTGGCACGCAGCTTCCTTTTGGACTGGAGCCACGGGCTCGATGGGAGGCGGCCTTGGGTCCGCCCTCCCGGTGGCTCCTCGCAGTGTCCTCAGTTATGCACTTGCAGGGACCATCCGCTGCTGCTGTCCCTGTTTGCCGCTGGTGGAAGCACAGTAAATGAACAACGTTCAAGACCTGAATTCTAGGCCCTGGGCTGTGCTCTGAACGGGTTCTGGTCCAGCTTCTGTGGGTGGCCTCTCATCCTGCTGGGGACCGGGCCCCGCTCAGCGTGACAGGGACTCTAAGAGAGGTAGCACTAGGTGCTGGAGGCCGATGTGGAGAGGGGTCCTTCCTAACAGCCCTGGAGTTGCGGTAGGTCACCTTGGCTGAGCAGTCACTGTGTTGATTTTCTCAGACCCTGTTGTTGCCCCGATTTTCAGAGGGGGAGCCCGAAGCCTTCAGGAACGGGGTGAAATCCCTGTGGAGAGCTAGTGGGTGGCAGAGGCCTTACTGGTATATGACTGAATCGCAGACGCAAATTCTTAGATGTGAGACCCCCTGGGTGCACACAGCCTGACGGCCAGCAGGTGGGCAGCTCTCACCCTGTGTGAGAAGGAGCTAGAACGCCTCAAGTTTCCCCTCTGCTTCACCCAGGCCATCCCAGGAACTGTACACGCAGGGTCGTATGGGAGGAACAGAGGGCAAGGTGGGGCCAGGCACATTTGGAGTGGTGCAGGCCAAGATGCCGGTGGGGGGGGGGGGGCAGCAAGGCCTTTTGGAGGAGGTGGTGTTTGAGCCGGTAAGAAGGTCCCTTATCGAGCAAGACATGGTGAAGGGTCTTCTGGCCATGGGCATCGCAGGGGCAAAGTGCGGAGAGTGAGCCTGGAGCCCAGGGTTCAGGATCGCTGGGGACGGGGGAGGGGTGCAGGGTAAAGGGGTACTGTGGGTTCCACTGCCGGAGCTGACGCCGTCCGCGTCGCTGTCCCCGCAGCCCTCCTCGCCGGACCTGGACCGCATCGCGGCTAGCATGCGCGCTCTGGTGCTGCGGGAGACCGAGGACACCCAGGTCTTCGGGGACCTGCCGCGACCGCGACTCAACACCAGCGACTTCCAGAAGCTAAAACGGAAATACTGAGGTGCAGAGAGAGAGCTTCCCGGCGTCCACCCCGTTCTACACTACACCCCCGCCCCGCCCCCGGGGACCGCCAATCCGAGTCAGATCTGGGACCGGCCTCCAAGTGTGTTCCTGGAGGCCCAGGATTGACCAGTCCCTGCCAATCCCCGCAGCCCTTTATTCTACCACCCCTTCTCCGTCAAGGAGTAGGACCTATCCAGTTTCCCGATAGGGTCTGTCGCCTCTTTTCTGCCCAGCGACAGATTCTATTAAGGGACTGGCCCTCTCTCCAATCAGCGTGGCTAGTTCTCAGCACTAACTGCGTCGACTCGCATCGTTTTCTGCCTAGCGACAAGGGCTTTGCTCCCACGGCATTGGCTCCATCCCTGGAAGAGCACAGCCAAGCCTCAAGATTGGTTGCGGCGCTCCACTTTGGTAAATGGGCAGCAGCTTTTGATTGGCTCGAACCCTGAAGGTCTTGACCAATCATCTAAGAAACACCATCGCCCTTCCTGAGTTCTCCTACCTGATTGGATCCAGCCTCCTGGGGGCGTGGCCAAGCCCTTTGTGTGCCCAGGATTGGCCTGTGGCCTTAGATACACGTTCTTTACACTAACTGGGGCTGAAGTTGTTTTTACTGAGTTCTCTAAACTGGTCTCTCTGGCCCCCTCCTCAGGGATGGCCCGATCCTGTCCCTGCGTCTACAACACTCAGTGGTTCCATCCCATAACAGCCTGCCAATCGAAGCCCGTCCTTGTATACAAGACGTTACCATCTCCCACCCCTCTCTCCTTCCCCCACAGGTGCCTTAAAGGGCCCTCGTCCACCCAAGGTGGGGGGCAGGGGCCCTCACTCTCCGGCCCTGATGTTGGGGGGGGGAGAGTGGAGGGTGGGGATCGCGAGTTGGGAGGGGCGCTGTGAGATTAAAGATTTTACCTCTGTCAAATGAGTATGAACTGTGCTGTGGATGTTCATTCAACAAACTTTCTGGAGCCGACTGAGCAGCATCTCATTGATTCTCACTGTAAATCTGGGAGTGGGAATTACTGTCCCCCTTTTACAGATATGAGAAAGTAGGCATTCATGTTTTGGGGATGCTTTTGAGCGGGCGGTGGGGTGAGTGTCGAGATTGAAATTGGTCTCCTGAGCCTACAGAGTCCCCAGCAAAGCCAAGAACCTCCAGCTGTGGCCAGTTTTCTGCCATAAAACGGCTGGAGGTTAGAGAACAAGTGGCATGTGGTCCGAAGGTAGGGCCGGGTGAAGTGGACACGGACACGCTGTCTCTCATCAGGTAACCACCGGAGGAATGCAGACAATAGGCAAGACTTAAACAGGGAAACTACCACCCAAACACTTAGGTGTTATTTACATGTATTAACTGCTTTAATCTTCCTAGTAACTCCACAAAGTGGAAACGATTATCCCTCCTTCATAGGTGAAAAATGGCAGCATCGAAGGTAGGGATGCTGTCGGCTGCAGGGGTTTCTTCCACTGCCAATGATCACTAAGTTGGAAAGAAAACTTCGCGCTGCAACTAAGTATCTCCAGCAAAGGGAATGAAAATTCAGTTCTTAGTTTTAAGAGAACCGGCAGCAGAGTCCTCGCCCCCTACTGGCCTGAGCCTCACACTGCAGCAAGAAAGATGAAGGTCAGAGCTGCAGTGGGACCACAAGGGCCTGGGGTCTGGGAGGGGGCGGGGCTTCTTCCGTGGGAGGAGCTCCAAGGCCCCGCCTCCTCGCTGAGAACGAGTCATTTCCGTCCGCCGAAAAACAGCCGAGGGTGGAGCCGCAGGCCGAGAACCTCTGACAGGACCTCTTTGGTCGGAAGTGGGCAGTGAGCTAGAGCAAGGGTGAGCGTTGGGCGGAGGCGGGAGCGCGCGAGGTTCCCGGCCTTTGCCCTCGGACATCGGGGTCCCAGCTCCCCGAGGACCGAGCCAGACGTTGTGACCGGGGAAAAAGCCGAGCCCTACGCTGGCGAGGGGGTGGGATTACCCAAGCCTTTAGCGGATGGAGGGAATTCCTGGTGAAGGGACGTGAGGAGGCGGGACTTCCTTTAGACACCGAAAGCGACCTGCCATCCAAACCTATTTACCTACTTGCCCTTAGGCAGGCTCACAGGATGGCCAAGATGGAAGCCAGGGGCGGCCTGTGGCTGGAGAGCCCTCCTGGGGGAGCAGCCCCCATCTTCCTGCCCACGGACGGGCAAGCCCTGGTCCTGGGCCGGGGACCCCTGACCGGGGTTACCGATCGGAAGTGCTCCAGAAACCAAGGTAGGCAGGGGCGGGACCAGAACTGGAGGGGGTGTGGCCTGCTTCCGGAGCGGGAACACTTTTTGGGAAAGAGACAGTCAATTCAGTAAAGGACATTCTTGGCTACCAGGCGAAATTGTGTGGTGCAGCCAGCCCCTGGGGAGCACAAGAAGAGAAAAGCTCTGTCTGACCTGGAACTATCAGACCTCTAAGGTTGCGTAGGGTACAGAGCCTGTCCCGAGGCTATTGTCATTGGGCAGAGAAGGATGCTCACAGGCCACCGTGAACGTTTGAGTCAGGCTACGACCTTTGTCAAGGAGAGAGCCGATCCTACGGAGAAAAGTACTAAGCAGCGATGAGTGGTAACGGGCCAAGCCCCTGACCCGCACCTAGTAGCCACACTCCTCGCCAGTTCTACACAGGAAAATTCCCACCCTGTCCCTAGGCGAAGACCAGCGTCGCAGGCAATACTAAGGCCTTTATCTGGCTACTGCTTGTCAAGGAGTGAGCCAATCCCTTTTACACTTGACCTGCCTCCTCCTCCTGAATGGGTGCTTTAGCGCCATCTTGTGGCTTGAAGCTGGCCATGCTCCCCCGTAATAAGGGACGCTCTTTCTCTGGGATGCATGTCTTGACTCCATCCTCTCAACCCTCAGTGGAGCTGGTCGCAGACCCTGAGACTCGGACGGTGGCTGTGAAACAGGTACCAGTTCCTCATCAAGGTCTAGATGTGGGGTCGGGGGGGAATCATAATCCAGCGAGGAACAGGCCCGTGGGAATAACTTGCTGGGAGGAAAGCAGGCGTGGCCAGTAAAGACGCCCTGAAGTATGGCCGGCTTCAATGCAGTATCCGTCCACATTTAAATTGGATCAGACCGAACACCTGTAACTTTTCCGAAGCCCTGATTGGTGGTACATAGTGAAGAGGCAGGGCTTTGGGGTCTGACTGGCAGGTGGAGAAAGGCAAGCCCTATCCTGGGTTGGTTGATGAGGTTGGGTGGCTGTTGGGAGGGGTGGAGCTGGTCTCAGCTCTTCCCCGTTTCTCTGCAGCTGGGGATTAACCCTTCAACTGCCGGGACCCAGGAAATGAAGCCCGGGTCCGAGTGTTCTCTGGGAGTGGGGGACACACTGTATTTGGTCAACGGCCTCTACCCGCTGACCCTGCGCTGGCAAGAGACCCCCACGCCAGAACCCCAGCCAGGAACCCCACCCAGCACCCCTCCGGTGGGCCCAAATGAGGAAGAAGATACTGAACAACAGAAAAAACGGATGCGGAAGTCATCCCCTGGCTGGGAGAGCTTCGAGAAGCTGCTCGTGTTCACCGCACCTGGGGTGAAGCCCCAGGGCAAGGTGAGGGCCAAGCTGGGGACTGACAGGGCCACCACGGACTGGGGACGCAACCTCGTTTACTCTGTGCCCATGGGTGGGTCACTTAACCTCTCTTAGCCTCCACTTTTCTGAGAAGTGGAGCTGAGGATAAATTCAGGGATAGCTGTTAGCATTGCGGGAAGGAATCCCTGTATGTCAGCTCCTGCCTGGCCCCTCGCCTGTCACCATGGCAATGTCAAGGTCATTTCAGCAGATGTTATGATGGTTTTTCGTAGGTCCAGAGAGACTCGGGTTCAAATGCGGTTACACCATTTCCTCTGAGCCCGTTCTCTCCCTCCAGTAAAATGGGGAACCCATGAAAACTGGGTGGCACAGCCCAATGTGCAGGTAGCACCCACACACAACTTAGCTCCTGCCTTATTTGCACGGCCATCGGCCCTTCAAGGGGGAGGTCAGGGTGGATAAGGCACGAACCCCATTGTGTAGACTGGAATACAAAGGGGTGTAGGAAGAAGAGGAGATAGGGGAAGATTTCAGACTCTGCCCTCAGGCACCCAGGATGTGCCTGTCCTTTCATAAGGTGTGTAGGCTCCCGGACTCCCTTTCCCCATCTGTAAGGGACTGTGGTCATAGTCCCCACCTCACGGGGTTGAGGTGTACCAGCCTGTGAGGGAGGGGATCAGAGGTGTCACTGCTGTTCTTTTCTTGGTGATGCCAGGTGGCCGGCTTTGATCTGGATGGGACCCTCATCACCACAAACTCTGGGAAGGTCTTTCCCACCAGCCCCAGTGACTGGAGGTGATAAGAGGCAGGGGAAGGGGGTGAGTGAGGCTCCTGCCAGGCCCTAGGTCACCTTGCCCCTGTCCTGCCCACTCAGGATCTTGTACCTAGAGATCCCACGTAAGCTCCGGGAGCTGGACGCGGAGGGCTACAAGGTACGTGCGTGCGCGGGTCCAGGCTGTGGGGGGCCGGGGCTCGGTGAGGTGGGCACTAGGTGACACCCATCTGCTCCCCAGCTGGTCATCTTCACCAACCAGATGGGCATTGGGCGCGGGAAGCTGTCTGCAGAGGAGTTCAAGGCCAAGGTGGAGGCTGTGGTGGAAAAGCTGGGAGTCCCCTTTCAGGTACCAGCTGCAAGGGAGGCTGAAGGAGGGGTATGGGGGGGACAGAGGCCCAGAGAGAGGTGAGACAGGAACTTGGTGAGGGGCGGGAAAAGGACCCAGAGAGGAGGGGAAGGGGCCCCGGGAGAGAGGGGACTGCAAGCCAGAGGCAGGGACGGGGGTGGGGAGGTGCACAAAACCAAGGCGGGGGTGGAAAGGGACCTGGATGGGGGGGCACAGGGATCCAGAGAGTTGGGGGGGTGCAGAGTTCCAGAGTCCCCAAGAGAGGGAGGGGACAGTCCTGGGAAGGTGGAGTTCCAGAGAGAATAGGACAGGAAGGTAGACAGAGACCCAGAGAGCGGGGGTAGGTCCTGCACGTGGTTGTTCGGACAGAAGCCCACTCTGAGTGGCCCTGGGAGCTCTCCTTTGCTGAGGGAGGCGAAGCACCCTTGGGTCCTGTATGTCCTTGAAGGGCTTTAGGCACTCACAGAGCAATGGCATCTGACCCCGTGTGGCCCATAGGTGCTGGTCGCCACGCACGCAGGCTTGTACCGGAAGCCAGTGACCGGCATGTGGGACCACCTGCGGGAGCAGGTGAGCTGCGGCGTCCTGCTTGCTTTCCCTTCCCCCGTTGCAGCCCCTCACGGCCCACCCAGGGTCTGCACTCCTGGCGAGGCTCCCCGGCCTCTCTCCTCTCCTCTCCTCCCACTGTCCTCGCCATCCTGGTCTTTAGCTCTCATGGCCTCACGTTTGTAATGAGGCCAGGGATCTTCAACTGAAAGCCAGAGTGGTGGTCAGCCATTGACTCATCATTGGCCTGAGGTTCCGTGGCTTCGCCCGGGTCCCCATGCTGTGGAGGGTGCAGACTGTGAACTGAGACTATAGAACAGCGAGAGGCGGCGCAACCAGATCAGCCAGGGTCTGGGTCTGTCTGAGGAGCTACTGGAGTCAAGGCCTGAAGGTGGTGAGGGAGGGAGCCGGGTGGGTGTCTAGGTTCCTAAAGAACCATCCAGACCAGAGTCACGGTATGTGCAACGTAGAGCCCAGTGTGTTTAGGGACAGTCGGTAAGGAGGCTCCTGTGACCGATGAAGGGGAATATATGGGTCAGGGCAAAGCAAGCTAGGGGGTCACAGCCCCCCCGGGGAAAGACTTCACGGATAGAAGTGGCGACCAGCGCCCTCTGGTGGCTGAGAGGAACAGCCGGCGAGTCCGCCGCACAGGTGCAGGCGAGAAGCCTGGCGGCGGGAGTGGCTAGAGGTCAGGCCCAGGGCTCGGCAGAGCCCATTACTGCTCTAGGGGACAGATATGGGAGTAGGTTCCTTATGGCCTGCTCTCCTGTCCCTCCCCAGGCCAACGAGGGTGTGCCCATCTCCATTGGGGACAGTATCTTCGTGGGAGGTAAGAACCCCGGGGAACGGGGGGTGCGGTGGGGTAGCGTGTGGCTCCCTGGGGCTGATGGCTGGGCAGGGGGACCCCGGTTCCTGAGGCTGCAGGTGTCTTCTCTGCATCCTAGACGCCGCTGGACGCCCCGCCAACTGGGCTCCCGGGCGGAAAAAGAAAGACTTCTCCTGCGCTGACCGCCTGGTAAGCGCCGTCCCACCCGCGCTGTCTGGAGCCTGGCCCCAGGCCTGCCTGACCGCCACCCTCACCCCCAGTTCGCCCTGAACCTGGGCCTGCCCTTCGCCACTCCAGAGGAGTTCTTCCTGAAGTGGCCGGCGGCCAGCTTCGAGCTGCCAGCCTTCGACCCGGTGAGCCTCACAGGGGAGAGGGGTGAGGGGGCGGGCGGCGGCGCCAGGAAGGGGCTCACTCCTCACGCCTGTCCTCCCAGAGGACAGTCTCCTCCTCAGGACCACTGTGGCTGCCCGAGTCCAGCTCCCTCCTGAGCTCTGATCCAGAGGTGGTTGTCGCCGTGGGATTTCCTGGGGGTGAGACACCCTGAGCCCTGACCGCTCGGAGCCCTGGCCCTCCTGGGCCTCCCACTGACACTGTCCCCTCCCCCAGCTGGGAAGTCCACCTTCCTCCAGAAGCACCTTGTGTCTGCCGGATACATCCACGTGAACAGGGTAGGAGTCTGGCTGCACCCCATCCATCTGCAGCCATTGTCCCCTCCTGTCCCTGCTCATCTGGGGGGACCTGTTCTCCTTGCCACTCTGCTCTTTCTGGGTCTCTCCCCCAGCCCCTGCTTCGCCCCACCCCACTTTCCCGTCGGCCCCCCGTGACCTGCTGCTCCCTGCGTGCCCCAGGACACGCTGGGCTCGTGGCAGCGCTGTGTGACGGCGTGCGAGGCAGCTCTAAAGCAAAGGAAGCGGGTTGTGATTGACAACACAAACCCGGACGTCGCGAGCCGGGCCAGGTACCAGGGTCCCGTGGGAGGTGCCTGTAGGGGGCATCCAGGGCCCCTTACCAGCTGGCCCTGCACCCACAGGTACATCAAGTGTGCCCAAGACGCAGGTGTCCCCTGCCGCTGCTTCCTCTTCAGTGCCACCCTGGAGCAGGCGCGTCATAACAACCGGGTGAGCACCTGTGCCCCACCCCCGCCCCACCCCCTGCTCCCCGGGGCCTGACCAACCTGCTCTGCCCCCCCCCAGTTCCGGGAGATGACAGATTCCTCTCACGTGCCTGTGTCTGACGTGGTCATGTTCGGCTACAGGTAGGCACCCCCAGAGGTAGGCTCTGCCGGGGGGCGGGGCACAGGGCTCAGCTGAGCTGCAGCCCCCTCATCGCCCTCTGCCCCCAGGAAGCAGTTCCAGGCCCCAACGCTGGCCGAAGGCTTCACTGAGATCCTGGAGATCCCGTTCCGACTGCACATGGAGCCTCAGCTGGAGCGGCTGTACCGCCAGTTCTCTGAGGGCTGAGCCCATGCCCCCCCCCCCCCCCGCCCCCCGCAATAAATGCTGCTTTTCTTTAAGTTTGGCCAGCATTTTGCTGGGAAGAAGTGGGGACCACCCAGCCGAGCGCAGGCCAGTCCCGGGAGGGTGGGGAGCACAGACCTGCTGGGCTGGGACCCCTGGCGCAGGCACTGCTGGGGGCTTTGCCCGGCTCAGCACTCCGCCCAGCCCGGGACTAAAGGGCTCTCTGGCAAAGGGCAAGGACTAAGCTCCTTAGGCTGTGGCCACAAGTGATGTAGGAGGGCAGCCCTGCGGGCTTTTAAAAGACTTTATTGGGGAAACGTACACGGGTGGGAACTGTCCTCGGAGACATCTCAGGACGCTGTCCTCCATCTCGCCGGGCAGGTGCAGTCTCCAGGGGCCCCCGCTCAGAAGCATCTGACCTGAGTCAGGGGCACAGTGGGTGGGCCTAAACGGGGGCTCCTGGTAGCCCCCGGGTTCCCCCACCACTTGGCTCCTCGGACCGGTGGGCCTGCCGGGCTCGGGGGATGAGGGAAGGGCCCCTCCTTGCCCACCCTGGAGGCCGGGATGCCATGCCTCACTCCCTCTGCCCTTGACACGGCCAGGTCACACCACCCCCCAGACCCTCAGCACGTCCAGGCCCACACTCCACCTGGCTGCCACTCACCCGTCTCAGCGGGGACCTCGTCTGTGACTCCTGGAGGGACCCAGGCCGGGAGTGGCCACTACCCCCCCATCTGTGGGGGGGAAGATGCCGGGCAGAGAGTCAGCAGTGGAAAAGGGAAGAGCGAAGGGAGAGCCGAGTTGAGAAGGGCGCTGGGGGCCCCGCTCCCGCCTCACCCCTCGCTGCTGCTGCTCCTGCTCCAGGTTCCGCTGCAGGACCTGCTGCTGGTTGGCGATGACACGTCGGATGCCGTTGACGAAGTTGCTCTGGTCGTGGGGGATGAGGCCGATGAAGATCTTCTTCTCCGAGGAGTACAGGAGCATGAGCACGCGCACCTCGCAGGAGGCCTTGTAGGAGAAGTGCACGCAGCCGGCCTGGGGGGCGCAGGGCACAGCGTCACGCGCAGCCCCGGGCACAGGCGCTCCTCCCCGCTGTGACGGGCGCGGACCACACAGACTGGCACACGAGGGGCAAGTACAAAGGTCGCCCCGAAAGGGTGCCGGGGTGCAGGATCCACCTCGGCCAAGCGGTGCAGAGGCCTCGTCGGGAAAGACGCCGGCACTAGGGCTCCCGCACCTCATGCAGCCCCCGGAGGCGTCGGGGCCGGAGGAGGGAGGCTGCAGAGCCTGGAGCTCTAACTGCCCCACCCACCCGCACACACCAGGCAGGACAAAGCTCTGTGTAACAAGGACCACGCGCTGCCGTCCGTCTCCCTGACTCCAAGGCTGGGCCGTCACCGTGTCACAGGCCAGCCCACAGGGCCAAGCACCTGAGGACCTGCAGTCCCTGAGCCCCGAGGGCAGGGCGGGTCCCCTGCGCACCCCTCCGGGCTGGCGACAGGTCTCCAAAAGGAAGAGCCCGGGGCACGCGCCCCTCCCCGCACCTGAGCCAACAGTCGGTGCTCTGCCGCGGCCCTGCAAGCGCGTGGACGGAGGGGCGGACCAGGGGTACAATGGGGCCCCCAGGGAGCTCTGAACTTTTAAACGTTTGACCACAAAAGAAATACACAGCCAGCCCCTCAAATACGCAACAGCATGACCGAGACCACCTCAGCGGATTTAAAAGAAACCGTGGGCGAGACCAACGTTAACCGGACGTAACAGACACTGAAAAAGCCAGCAGTGACAGCCCAGCCGTTTGAGGAGCCGCTGGAGGGGCTGCAGCCCGGCCCCGCGGGAAGAGCTGGAAGCAGACGCGCCCCCCTGCCTGCCCCAGGCCTTCAGGGGCCTCAGCTTCCCCCCAGGAACACCTGGGGTGACAAGGGTGCCCGGTGCTCTGGGAGAGCAGGAGAAGGGTGGCAGGGAAGGACCTGGAGCACAGGCGGGCTCAGCCGGGCCACCCTGCACTCTGAGGAGACTGACGCAGGGGCAGGGGACAGGCCAGAGCGGGCCTTCAGGGCCCAAGTCCCTGCCGGCTCTTGGTGGCGCTGCCTTTGAGCCTCAGTCTCCTGTCTCTGGCCACACCACCCTGAACGTGCCCCGTCTCGGAGGGTCAGGGTCAGGGTCAGGTCTGGTTAGTACTCAGATGGGAGCCTCAGTTTCCCATCTGTAAACGGGGTCAGGACAGCACAGGGCTCCAGGGGAGTCGTGTGCCCTGGGAGTCACTGCGTGCGCAGGCACACGGAACATGTGCCATCGCTGTGAGCCACCAGCGCTCCCCAGCCAGCTCTGGGGGCAACGGCCGCGCTCAGGTTCGCCTCACATTCGTGTGAACCCCCGGCGGATCCGGCTGCTTCTAGCCGGCCAGCCTCCCCTCCACCCCAGCCCCACTCACAAAGCCGTTGTCCATGATCCGGCACAGGCTCTTCAGCGTCTCCAGGTCCTTGGTGAAGTGGAACTGCACCAGGCGGGAGTTCCGAAACAGCGGCACCAGGGTTGTCTGCAGGGAGCCGGGGGCGGCGCCGTGAGGCCCGGGGGCCCAGGCTGCCCCCCGCTGCGCCGCTCTGCCCCACCCCTGTCCGCACAGGGGCTGGCGTGGGGGCCGAGTGCCGGCTCACACCTCGGCCAGGTCCTGGGACCCTGCGAAGCCAGGCCCGCTGGCCTCCGGCCACCTGTTGTTCCCCCACCTGCAGTGGCTCTCAAAGGGTCCCTCCTGTGGAAGCTCCCTCACCACCCCCGGGACCCCAGGCAGGAGACCCCGCGCTTCCCTTCCCTCACCAGCAGCTGCTGCGGGATGAGCTGCATGTACAGCTTCCGTGGCCACTGCTCAGTCCTCCTGTGGGCACGAAGGCACGGGTCAGGGGGCCGGCTCTCACTGAGACACCCCGTCCACCCCGGCCCGACACTCACAGGATCTCCCCCTGGTTCACGTAGACGTGCGACGGCAGCCATCTCTTAGACCGACTGTTGGGCTCAGGCCTGGGCTTTTGGGCGGGGAAGAGGGGGACGTCAGGAGTGGGCAGCGCCCTGCGTCAGCAGGGGCCCGCTGGTCCCACAGGAACCGGGCCACGCCCGGGCTCACCTCCTGCCACTCCATGACTCCACTCCACGCCAGGAACTTGTTGTTGACAATCTGGACTGGGCCCGCAACACCGCCGGGCCCCACGGCCTGCAGGGGGAGGCAGGGCCGGTGGGGGTGGTGTGGGCTGGTGCCTCGGGCCCTGTTCAAGCCTCCCTCCCCGCAGCCCGCCGGCCCCAAGCCCGCCCACAGCCCGTCCTCACAGATCCAGAGACGGCTGCCCAGCGGCGCACCTGCTTGCGGGTGGTGATGACCTGCCGGATGGCATTGACGAAGCCGCTCTGGTCGTAGGGGATGAGGCCCATGAAGATCTTCTTCTTGGACGAGTACAGCAGCATGAGCACACGCACCTCGCATGGGGAGATGTGGGGGAAGAGCATGCAGCCCGCCTGTGGGGAGGCCGGAGGTCAGGGACCCCCTGAGCTGCCAGGGGGCTGAAGGCCTCTCCCTGACCGCAGGAGCCTGCTCGTCGCCACGGGACAGAGGTCCTCAAAGTCAACCCTGTGGTCCCGAAACAAGGTGTGCAGCCACAATGCTGGGAGCAAGCGAACTTGCACCTCAGCAGCCCCACCCATAGGCGTGAGGACCCTGAGGACTGTCTCCCACCCACATGCCCTCCGACGCGAGCCCAGCCCCACCAAGCCATGTGGTGCGCCCGTGCCAGGCAGCGGCCAGTGAGGGCCCACCCACTCTGCTTCCTCCTGGCACAGAATGAAGGGGTAACCAGCCTGTCGAGAGCCCCCACACCAGCCACCTGCCCAGGCACGGAGGGAGGGCAGAGCCCCCTGGACATCAGGAGTCGGGCACACAGCGCCCCCTGGAAGGGGCAGCCTGCTCCAAAGGGAGGGGGCCGCGGAGCAGCGTCCTCTGGACTTCCTGGCCTGAGGCCTCGCTCCCCCATCATGTCCCCTTCCAGGCACAAGCAGACCCCTGGGGGAGGGGGCCGCTGAAGCCCGGCCCAGACCGCACAGGCTGTAGCGCCCCAGTCAAATCTCACTTCCTGACATCCCGTGTCCCAATCCCAAACTGACCCTCAGTCCTCAGGTTTACTGGGCACTTACTACAGACTCAGGTCACATGACACTGACCCGGCAGCGGCCCCCAGAAAAGCCCTCCCCGTCGGCCCCACTTGCCAGGTGGGGAAGCCGAGGCCAGCACAGACCGGTCCCTCCTGGCTCGCTCTGTCCCCTGGCGGCCCGCTTTACCAGGTCCCTGCCACCTGCTAGACCCCAGGAGGACTGGTTCGGTCCCCCCAGTCACGCGCATCTCCGACGGCCAGCTCGCAACTCAGCCGCCACGGGAGGGAGCCTGAGATGTGTGGATCCCTCCGCTCCGCTCCGAGGAGAGTCCCTGAGACTTAACTGCAGACAGGCCTGTGCGGCCACGAGGGGGCGCCCCAGCCCCCGGGGAGCTTCCCTGGGGCCCGGCCTTGGACCTTCCCAGCAGAGCTGCTTCCTGCTGCACTGCCTGTCCCCACAGTGCCCAGCGGGGCCCGGCCCGGCCCGGCCCTGCCCACGGCTGCCCGCCCGAGCCCACCACCCCACTCACAAAGCCGTTGCCCATGACGCGGCAGAGCCCCTTGAGGGAGTCGCAGTCTCTGTTGGTGAAGTGGAACTGCGCCAGCTGGGAGTTGCGGAACAGGGGGCCCAGGGTGGTCTGGGGGCAACAAGGGGAGAGCTGGGTCACTGCTGGGGGTGGGGGTACTCTGGGGAGCAGGCTGGGGGCGCCGGGGCGGGTCTCACCAGCAGCTGCTGTGGGATCAGCTGCATGATCAGCTTCTGCGGCCACTGGTCGGTCTCCCTGCGGGAGGAGAGGGTCAGGGGGGCCTGCGGCCCCCAGCCGCCCGCCCGCTCGCCCACCGGGCACTCACAGGTTCTCGCCCTGGTTCACATAGGCCTGGCAGGGCAGGGTCCGCTTCAGCTTCGCGCTGGAGTCAGAGTAGGGTCTGCGCTTCTGTGGCGGGAGAGAGCATCTCACTGACACAGCTCGAGTGCCCAGGCCTGCCCCCCACCCTCAGGGGCGGACGGGACCCGCTGGGGCACCCCCAGCCACCAGGGACTCTCAGGGCCTGACAGGGCCACTCACCTCCTGCCACTCAAGGACACCGCTCCAGGCCAGCAGCTTGTTGCTGAGCCGGTGCTCGCCTACCGCCAGGCCCCCAAGGGCGAGCCCGGGCGAGGACGGCCCAATGGGGCCCAGGGCCCCGAAGACTCGAGCACCTTGCTGAGAAAGAGGAGTGGGGAAACTGAGGCTGGGGCAACCACAATAGCAGGCTGTCTCCCACATACCCCAGAGAGGACATCCCCACCGTCCAGGCCCAAACTGCCCGTTCAGAAACACCCAAGACAACGTCCAAACCCCTCTTCCCAGGGATCAAGGCCCTGCCTGGCTGATCCCATCTTTCTCTGTCCCCCCAGAGCCCACTTGTCACCTCAACATTGGCCCATGCAAGGTCCCTGAAAACCACAAGCCCACTTCCCCCTCCAGCCTTTGCTCCTGCTGAGCTCTGGGCCTGGAATCCCACCCCCTGGGCCCCTCAGGAGGCACCGCCCACTCACCCGCCCGGCAGGATCAAGTCTTGGTCCCTCTACTGAGCCCCAACTCAGAAGCCAGCTCCTGGGGTCCAGGTCTCCTCGAAGCCCCCACAGCGCACACGCCAGCCTGGGCTGTGTCCGTCTGTGTACCTGGTACCCTGGCCTGCCCTGTCCCACCCATGCTCAAAGCCCTTCCAAGCTGCTCCTGACTGTCATGAGAAAGTCCAGACTCTCCCTCTGGCTCCTGCCAATCTCTCTCGGCAGCTTCCGGCCCTCGCTCCCCTCTCACGCACCCCGGCTCGCAGCCAGGTCAGGCTGACCCCAGGGAGGCGGAGACCAGAAGCACACAGAGTACAGAAGCACCCAAGGAGGTGGGGACAAGTGTGGAGGAGGCAGTGTGACAACACCTGGAGGGGCCTCAAACACAGTGTCTCAAGAGCGTTTGCAGAACATCAGAATGTTCCAGCAGTGAAGCCAAGGAAAGCTACACATTCTACTCAGAGCACACTCTCCCAGCCATCTTTTTTTTTAAACCAAAAACATCTCAACCAAACACATGAAGGCTTTGCGAACAGCCTGGCAGCAGGAACCCCAGGAAAACCTCCCCAGTGCTTGCCTCCAAGCAGAAAAAAAATCTCAACGGTCGTTACTTTCATCTCATTATTAAAGAGCACTTCCAAATGTCCTTTTAAAAGCACCCAGGTACCTCCTGTCCCAGAACGACAGGCAGGTAAAGTTTTATTTTGGAGGAGGACTTAAAAAAGCAAAAAAACAACAACCCCAAAACAAAAACCATCCTGAGCAAGCACGCTCTCCATCTGGGCAGGTGGCCCCGGGGGCCTGGGCAACTGCAGGGGACAGGGAGGGAGCCCCAGTGCAGAACGTGGTGCCATCAATGCCGGTGTGTGCCTGACCCGGAGAGCGGGCACAGGAGCCCTGGGTATACGGGCACCACAGGCGCTGGGGAATGTGGTGACAGCGCCAGCTGGAGGGCCCAGGTGAACGCACCCGAGGACCCAGTCAGTCAGCACAAGCTCTAGGGACACGTGTCAAAGTCTGTTTATTGGGAGGGCGGGCTGGCTCCGCAGGACTGGAAAGGGTTCTGGTCTGGAGTGTACAGACCGGGAATGGGTGCTGAAACCCAGAAATACCTGCAACCTGGCTCTAGGCTTAAGTGCAGCCCTAAAGAAAACGTCCCCTCTGGTCAAGTGTTTGCACAATTTCGCGATGCCTCCTCCGTTGCTTTGTTTATTGCACAGGGAAGCCTGTCGAGTACTGCGAAGGGTGAAAACCTTAATAAGGACGAATGTTTAAGGATAGAGGAAGTGCCTTAGTAGATGTGAATGCTGATGAAAGAGGGGAGGGCAGCGGAGGAAAAGGGAAAGTTGGGGAGAGGAGTCTGGGTGTGTAAGATTGGAGGAAGCCGGGTTAAGGCTCCGTGCCCTGCACAGCGCTGGGGCAGTGTAATTCAAAAGCGAGCTTGAGCGCCAGCCGCGGGAAAAACGCACATCTGGGCAGGCGTGTGCATAGTTCAGCTGTGCAGGAAACGTCGGGACATGCAGCTTTACCGCTCCAGACAAGCTTTATTAAGATTTTGAAGAGTACGTGCATGATTTAAGGCTGGGCAAAGTGTGTGCAGCTTCATGTACCTGCAAACTTAGGTGTATAAGGTCTGGGCTTGTTACTATGTGTGAGGGCATCCCACACCTGCGCGCGCGAGCAAATCCTGGGCGCACACGCCACAGGGGCCGTGCAGAACGCCCCCTGGTGCAACACCTGGGCGCGCGAGGGCAAGACGCGGCCCCTCTCGCCGCCGTCCCCCAGACCCCTCCTTCATTTTCAGATTCCCTGCCCGAAGAGAGAACTTTCCAATTGGAACAACAAGCGCGCACGCCGGCCAACGTTTGTAGTCAGCCCGTCAGCCAGCCAGCCAGCCCCCCACCCCGCGTTTAAATCCGGCCGCGGAGTCAGCAGTAATTTGAGCCCTCACCGCCCCCGTACCCCACCCCCGCCACCCCAGCCCGAGAGCCTAACAAAGGGGAGAGCCTAGCGCGTACCACCGAGGGGTTCCACGGGGAAACCCAGCCCCAGAGCGGACCGCCCTTCGTGGCCACCCGGGAGACCCCGGAGGAGGGGGCCGCGGACAAAGACGGGAGCCCGGGGGCGGGGCCGTGGAAGGCTCTGGAAAAATGGCGGGGGGCTCACCATGGGAGGGGCCGAGCGGGCCCGGATCCGCGGCGGCTCTGGGCCCCGAGGGCTGGCCGGCCAGGAACGCGAGCGTGCGGCACGCACCGTGAGAGGCCGCAGGGGGCGGCCGCGACCCCCAAGGGGGCCCCCAGCGCCGGAGCGGTGCGGGGCGCGGCGAGGACGGACCATGGCGGGCGCGGGCCAAGCGGACTCGGGGGGGGAATAAGGGCCGCGCAGGGGGCTGCGGGCTCCACCGACTGAGGGGCGCGGGCGCGCGGCTCTGGGGGGAGACGGGTTGGGCTGTACCAAGCGCGGGGGACCCGCCGCCGGAGAGGGGTCGCCACGGCCGAACCACTGCGGCGAGCAGGGGAGCGCGGCGCAAACCAAGAGCGTCCGTGAGGGGGCGTGGCCGGGGCGTACCAAAATACGGCTGGGGAACTCAGGGAACTGAGAGGGTGTGTGGGGCGGGGAATACGGCAATTGGAAGTTACAGCGGGCCGCTCGAGCAAGGGCGGGAGGAACTAAGAGGACGTGCGAGAAACACTTCTGGGGACCCCAGCGAAGAAGGCCGTACCAAAGGGCGAAGGGGGGATAGATGAAGTAGAAGGCAATACCAAGTTGGCTGCAGGATGGGGGGCGGGTCCGAGGGTTTTACCCAGAGTCCCGGACACGCGGAACCGGGGGACTACCAGAGCTCTCAGAAAAAGAGGGAGGAAGGAATAAAGGACCTGGGGGCGAGGGAATCTACCTAGAGGTTTAGGGATACGGATTGTACCATGCACCAGAGGAAGACTTAAGGTTTGAAGGCCGTGACGTGGCTAGGTCGGCGGGAGACCACAACTTCCAGCGGGCCCCGCGCGGAGAGGGCGGGGCCCGCGGCCTCAGGAGACGCCGTCAGTCACAACTGCGTGCCCATTGGCTTCGCGCCCTAAGCTCCGCCCACCGCCTTCTGCGCCTCCTGCGGCTCCTCGCTCCCGCAGCTCAGGGCCATTCATTGATTCCCTCATTCACTCAATTAAGTGACTGCATACTCACTTACTAGTAGTTGTGTAAGATTTCTTCCTTAGATTCCCCGTTTCTTAAATGTGGCTAATAGCTAACCCCAAAGCGGTTATTGAGGGTCAAATGAGTCAAAGTATTAGGATCGGTACTTGGCACAGTGACGCCTTACACGCTTGCTTTTTTCTTTAAATCAGTAGTAGCACCGCTTCCAGTTGTGCTGGGCAGTGAGTACACTGTGATGCCAGAGCCCACAGTCCCTTCGGGAACTCATCGCAGTTTGTGGTAAGGATTGAAGAGAGCAAATGCAGAGCGGGGGTGGGGATGGTGACCCTGAGGAGTGCGGAAAGTGACCTCTGAGGAGCCTGCAGTTGTACATAGAAGAGTGTGCTAAGATGAGGGAACAGCAAAGGCACAAATCCTGAGAGTGGAAGAAAAACAAGGGAGGCCAATGAGGCTGGAGAGGAGTGAGGGGGGCAGAGAGCTGTGGGAAAAGGGAGGGGCCAAGTGCCACAAGCAGCGTGCCTGTAGCCTGGGGATGGAATTTGAATTTTAGTCTCATTTTGCTGGGGAGCCACCAAAAAGGTTTTTGTCAAGAGAGTGACAGTCTCATTTGTTTTAAACAAAGCAGTCATAGAATGCACAGTAATGCACACGACACCTGTACGAATATACAGAAGGAGCTGGGACTCATGGTCACCTCTGAGAAGAGAAGGCAGCAGACTGGGGGCACGGGGGTGGGGGGGCGGGATGGGCACCACAGTGGAAGGGAGACTCAGTGTACTATTTTAAACTCTTTGGATTTTTTTCCACATGTAAGTGTTGCCTGTTAAATAACTTTTGAAATATTTCGAACTTCTTTTAAGGCCCGCTCTGGGTGCTGTGTTGAAAGATTGTAGGGAATGAGAGGAAGCAGCCAGGAGAAAGGAGACTGGCAATAACCCAGGTAAGAGGGCTCACAGGATGGGTCAGAGGTAGGACGGCCACAGCAGGGGAGACGGGCACTTTCATGATGTATTTTCAAGCCAGAGCCCAAAGCGCTTGGGCAGAGATGAGAGAGAGGGGGGTGCAGGGTGATGCCAAGGCGCTTGCCTGTTCACAGGTGCCTTCTGGGGAAAGGGGCCTGACTGCAGGAGGGGCAGGATGGGGAGGCCAGGAGGCAGAAGCCCCTCCTTCCGTGCGAGATGTCGGCAAACCAGTGCAGCCGGAAGAGTCTGGAGACAGCACCTCCGCTTTCAAGTCATTGCGGATGAATGAGATTACAGAGAGCCCGTGTGCTGATGGCGTACAGAGAGCATGCCATCCCTTTAGAGGTCAGGCCTTGAGGGGCCGCCAGCAAATGAGACAAGAGTGGCCAGTAAAATTCAAGAAGTCCTGCTCCAGGTCCTATTTCCCATCTTTGTTTGCCCCATCAATTAAGCCACCTGCCCAAGGACTTCCCCAGGCTGACTGGAGCCCAGCCCGGAGCCCCACGTGGGACCTAGATTGTGGCCAATTAGGAAGTCAGTGCTCTGTGGCCCCCAACTTCAAGTTAGGTGTCCACAGGCACGTGCAGAGCCCCGGTCATCACCCGTGTCAGGACCCCCAACCGCTGGCAGCAGGAAGGAGAAAGGACCACGGGGACAGAAGCCTCCTTGATCTCCGGAAACCCTCCTTTCTTACCACTCTCTGTGGTCCACGCCATCAAGATCTCTTGCCAGGGAGACAGTCTCCAAACTCTTGCCACCTTGCTTCTGAGTCCACTCATCGAAACCATCCGATGGCTTCCCGGTGCCCTTTGATTCAACTACAAAATCCTCGCCATGGCCTCTGAGGCCCCGGACCATGCAGCCTCTGCTGCTGTCTCCAGGCTGATCTTTGCCCCCGTTCTCCACCTGGTCAGTGCCTTTTCATCCTTCAGATCCCATTAGGACACGTGTGTGGGTTTGAATTCCCAGGACTGCCTGGGCACGGAGAAAGGTGGACCAGGATACGCTCCAGCATGAGCAAAATGAAAACACGTCAGAATGTGAGAGGAAGGGTAGGCTGAAATTCTATTCATAACACTGCAGTACAGCTGTCTGAGGCCAACCCGCTTACCCAGCGTGCCAGTGTGAAAGGCACTTTTCACGTCCTCAGCAAAACCTGCCGTCCAGGCTGCCAGGCTATTCTCACGAATCGCTTCTGCTCCCACCTGTTAGGCTGTGCACTTCCGCAGAAGTACTGTCTGTTACGAAAACTGTTTGTGCCAGTTGTTCCTCAGTTAGTAACTTAGTCCTGTCAAACTTATGAAATGTTCATGCAAAAGAGTTGTTTCTATGTAAAGCAGGTTGCCTGCATTGGAAAGAATAAAGGTGAGTTGCTTTAAAAAAAAAAAAAAGCTGCCAAATTAGCTGCAAGCAAAGCAACTGTAAATGATTGAACAGAACATAAAAACCTATGAAGACCTAGTCTTCAGTTTGTTTCCTAAGCGTCTTTAGGTTCTCAGGTCACTAAAGAAAAAAAAACACACACACACAAAAAAACCCCACTCTGGAAATAATAGATGATTCGCTGTGACTTGTGGGTACAGTTTATACAAGAATATATTGTATGATAACAGGCAACCAATCCTTAAAGAGAAGGTGTTGATGTTTTTAGTCAAAATAAAAACACTCAAAGTGTTTAAACAGTCACTAGCACTATCTGCCACGTATTTCTAATTTCCCAGTTGCCGAGCAACGGGACAGATTCCCCCTCCCGACGCCGCTATGGTTGAGTACAGTCATGGGATTCATTCTGGCCTGGGAGATCTGAGCAAAAGTGACACGTGAATTTAGCCTGGAGCATTTCCCACGCTACTTGGCAACATTTGAGATCCTTCAGCGTGAGCGAGGTCTCCACCTAGCATGAGCGAGAAAACCCACCTTTGCTACTTCGAGCCACTGCAATTTGGGGGCGGTTATTGGAACATAACCCAGCCTATCCTGATACAGAAATGTCCTCATAGAATCCCATTTAGCCAATCAACTACCAGCCTTGCTGATCTCGCTAGAAGGGCAATCTGGGAGCACACAGAGGTTGGATGTGTCTGTGACACAGATGAGGACGAGATGACAACGTGGACAAAATGGGAATAAGGCACTCTCTGTCTTGGGTTTTCATTTTTCGCAATGACAAAATAATGTCTAAAAACAAAAATCTGTCTGATGCATGCTCTCCAAGTCCTACATAGCCTTTCTTCAACTTTCTCATTATAATTCGGAGTTACGTGCCTCCCACATTAGACTGGGACCTTCCTAAGGGCAAGGGCTGCGCGTAGCCTGTTCACAGGTCTTTCCCGAGCGCCCAGCACCAGGCTCTCGAGGTCTAATCTACACAAAGTGCACACCTGCCCTAGAACAGCCTCCACGCCTCTACAGAGGCGCGGGAGTGTGTTCACGCACCAGGAAACCACTCGTCCCTGCTTTCTCCGTATGAGGTTGGGACGATGGACTTCTCACTATGGGAACATAAGTGTAAATGTCATATGTCACAAGTATGCCATCCAGTCCGAAGCAGCTAAGAGCCAGGGTGCGTTCCTTCCCGGCGGTGGAGACCAAGGACGCCCTAATGGAGGGGCGGGTTACAGGATGGAAGCACGGGACCCCTCAGTCGCTGCTGGAGGAGAGCCAGCTGGACACATCAGACAGGCCACATTGTGGGTGGGGAGAAGCGAGACAATCCTTTGCTAAGCCACGAGATTTACGGATTTGTTAACAATGGAATGACCACACACACACCAGGCCGCTTTAATCTACTCTATCTACAGACCACAATGCGTCCACTAGTGTGTAGCCTCCAGGCCTTGCCTGCACTGTCCCCTCCGCCTGGTGCGCCCTCCCCTCTGGTTGTACCCGTCCAAGAATGACCTGCACAGATTAGCGTGTAGTTTATTAAGCACAAAACTGTGAGTTTTCATTTAATTCTCACAAGGCTCCTTCAAAGGCCGCTCATTAGAGCTGAGCCTTGGCTCACACAGAGGGGAGCAGAGTCCGCAAGGGGAGCCACCTGGCACCCCCTCCCCCACCCCCGGGCCCGAGCCACACCCAGCTTTTCACTGTCAGCGTCCCGGCCCCTGTCCGGCACCCAGTCAATATTTTCCAAACAAATGAACTACAAATGTGACCTCCCAGGCCACCTGGACCCCTGCTGCTGTTTCCTGTTACTCCGTCAGGTTCCCTGATTTCCTCCTCGGGACTCGCTCAACCTCCTGCACCCACTCAAGGTTCCCAGCGACGGTGGCCTGGTTCCCCCCAGCCGTACACGCCAGAGTGGGTCAGGGTGGTCCTCAGAGCTGAAGCCAGCCTGTAGCAATTTTATAAAAGTGTCATTCTTGGAAAAGTAATAGCAGCTATTATTCCTTAAACACTACACCAAGCACTTCGTGTCTATAAGCACTCAGTGAATCCTCACACACCAGGACATGAGGCTGACGATCTTATTATCCCCACTGTCAGGCAGGGAAACTGAGGACTGGGAGGCAGGAGCCTGAGGTCATGGCGGAGCAAAGGCCAAAGGGGGTAAAGGCTGGGCCAACAATCTCAGCAGAAGCCCTTTGGCCCCCGTGGTGAACACCTCACCTTTCTGTCCCTCCTGCCAAGAAGCCCACCCACAGCCATCAGCTTGGGGCTGGGAACCTCCCATCTTTGTCACTTCATCTGCCTCTCAGCCACCAACTGCCCTCCGGTGCACACGGTCCCAAAGGCTCTCGGGTTGTAAAACACCGGACCTCCACCACCCTCAGGCCCATGGGCCTCTCTCCCGCCTGCAGAGGCAAGGTGCATTGCGGTGACCGGGTCCTGCCGGCCTCTTCCTTCTGTGGACTGGTGAGAAGTGAGTTGGCACAATTGCTAGTTTGGCAGAGGTTTTTTGGAGGGGACAACTTGGCAGTTGTCACATTGTAAAATCTTGGCACCCCGAAAGATTCAAAACATCCTACATGGCCAAAAGGAGGGGGTTGGTTAAAAAACGATGGTGATGTCCTGGCTGGTGTGGCTCAGTGGATTGAGCACCGGCCTGTGAACCAAAGGGTCACCAGTTTGATTCCCAATCAGGGCACGTGCCTGGGCTGCAGGCCAGGTCCCCAGTGGGGCATGCGCAAGATGCCACCACACATTGCTCTCTCCCTCCCTTCCCATCTCTAAAAATAAATAAAATCTTTTTTAAAAAATGGTGGCATTCACACAAGGGATATGATGCAGCCATGAAGAAGGACAGAGGGCTTTTTGCCCTGGTATAAACTGAAAGATACGCTGTCCAATGAAAAAAGAAATCCACGGGATAGAGCAGGCTAAGTAAGTTCTAGAGAACTGCAGGACAACACAGAGCCTACAGTGAGTAGCACTCTCCTCTGCAACTGAATTTAAGAGGGTGGATCTCCGGTTACGTGTTCACAACACATACGCACCAACAAACGAGAGAGCCAAAGGGACCCGAGGAAGCTTTGGGGGTGATGGGCATGCCTTTCGCATGGGCTGTGGTGACACTTTTCATGGGTGTATGTCTACGTCCAAACTCATCAAACTGTGCATATTTCTATGCGTAGTTTTCTGGTATCAATGATAACCTCAATAAAGCTTTTTTAAAAAATTAAGTAGGCTACCGCTTAATCTTGAGAGAAGAGCCCCAGAATGAATATATTCCACTATTTGCTTTCACCTGCTTAACACATCTCAGAAGAGACACATAAGACATTGGTAGTTTCCAGAGGGAGCTGGGACTGTCGTTGGGTTGCTTTTGGAAACTCTTAAAGTGTAACCCATAGGAAGGTTTTAAATATGGCAAAAAAGTGGATTCCCTCTTCAAAGTCAAATAACAACAAAACTGGCTGCTAGGGACGCATCACACGGGAATTCCTGCACAAGGGAGAAAATGTCATCTATGTCCTCTGCAGCATTTTAAGTAGTCGTGACAAACTACACAGCTCACCGAACGCCCGTGCAGTGTGCGAGCAGTCTCCAAGGTGGCCCCGTGGTCCCCACCGCCCAGTGTTACTCCCTCCACCTCCCAGCTTCCATGGGGGCCGGGGCTGCACAGGACACAGCCCAAGTGACGGCACCGCCCCTCCAACACTGGGTTGCAAAATGCCTGCAGCTTCCACCAGGCCACCCCCTCCCCCTCCAGAGAAGCCGGGTCACCCAGAGCAGGGTGCTGCCCTTGAAGAGGCTACAGGGTGAGGAAGGGAGGGAGGCCCCGCCGCGTGGGAGGCAGAGAATTCCGCCAACAAGCTGGGGAACGAGGATGGAAGGGGGCCCTCCCCTGGCGGGGCTTTGACTACGACCTCGGGAGAGACCTTGAACCAGAGGCGCCCAGCGAGGCCCTGCCCGGCTTCCTGACCCAGAGCAGCCCTGAGACAATAAACGCCTGTTGTTCTCCACTGCTGCGCGGCGGGCTCTGTTACACATTGACAGAGAGCTCATCCATTCGGGCCAGTTTGTGGAACTGGAATGTGTCCATTTAATGGGCGATGGACGGCAACCGCTTAAAATCAAGACAACCACACGTGTGGATGGCGGACCACAGCTCAGGTGGGAAAAAGCAAGATAAAGGACAACATATAGACACTGGCTCCACTTAGGTAAAACATTTAAGACGCTAACACTTGTTCCATCAAATATATTTGACTAATAAAAAAAGAGGGACGATAAATGTGTCTACACACACACACATACACACACACGTAAATTAAATGCCAAGCTGATGTACCTCCCTCTGGTGAGGAGGGTGGTTTGCTCAGCATGTGTTTGGGGTGGGGGTCGAGGCGAAGGGGTCCTTCCCTTTTTATTCTACACACTTCAGGGCTTCCTCAGTTATATAAAACTATAAACGTGTGTAACTCTTAATACATTTTTAAATCAATTTTTTAAAAAAGATGGTGGGAGAACCTGTATTAGTGAGTTTTATGTACCTCAAGACAAATACACCTTTCTAGATATTGCTTTTCTCATAATTTTCCTTTAAAGAGGCAGTACTGGGCATTTCCTCTCACTCACAGCAGGTTCGCCACTATTCCTGTGTTGGTGTTTTAGGATTTTCGCCTTCATTTTTTTTCCCACTTTATGTTCTGCCATTTTTGCCAGACCTGCTCCTTTGGGGAAAATCTCACGCATTTCCCAGTCTCACTCCAGCTCTGGATGCACGGTCCAAAAGCCAGCAGGTCAAAAATGAAATATTTCCAAACAGTCCCTCACCCAAGTACAACCCGCAGGGACCCACGGGAGATTTCGGCGAGTTTCGCCCACCGCGTTGGCCTTCTGCAGGGGTCCTAGGCCTTGGCAGTGGCTGCTAGCAGCTCTCTGGTGTGAAGGGCTATGCTGAGCCTGCCGCGTGTCCAGTCCTATGGGGAAGTCACTTCTCGACATATGGGGACACTGAGGTTCAGAGGCACGCAGGGACCCGGCCTGCCCGAAGCCACAGAGCCGGTCAGTGCTGGGGCTGGGGTTCAGACCCTGCAGTTCCAGGGTTCCCTCTGCTCGCTGCACTTCGGCAGCTTTACCAGCACCTGGTGCTCGGAGGAAAATGTCCCCAGAGGACGTGCGTGTTGCACTGGCTGGTTCCAACAGGCGCGTTAAGCGCTTCTGCCTGTCCCCGCCACCCGGACTGTGAGATGATGGGCAGGTGCGTGCTGTGTCTGGATCCTTCCTGGCTCTTGGGGCCACCCAGGAACGCTGGGCGTTTTCTGCCTCGCCCTGTGAATAGCACCCGCGGCCAGAGCGCGGCAGTCTCTCAGGTTCGCCTATGCAGGGGCTGAGGTCACGAGGGGCCCAGTGGCCAGTCACAGCCAAACCAGCGACTGGGAACGTCAATCTTCCCACCCATCTGTCCTGGACCCAAACCCGTCTTCCTACAGCGTAACTCCCACCCTGATGGGAGCAGCGCTGGCCGCTCTCCCCTCGTCATCTTGCCCTCGCTGTCAACCACTCTCTCCTCAAAAACACTCCCGCTTCCAGAACACGCTGGCCTGGTCCTCCCGTCTTCCGGTCCCCTGCCCACCCTTCACACGGGGGGCTTTCTCGGGGCTCTGTACTGGTCCTCACGTCTTCTCCTTCTTCCAGAGGTCGCAAAATGGCTGCCCGGCGGCCTCATCAGACCCACCAGTGGATTTTTGTTTGGTCCTCACAGTGTATTTTGTCTTTAATTTGAATGCCTTTAGGCGGGGCAAGCACTCTCCAAGTTCGCCACAGTCCCCATCACGCCCTACTGTCTTACACCCGTCCGCTTCACACATTTCCATCACCTGCCTGGTCCGTGAAGCCGTCTGAGTTTTCAGAAACCCCTGCCACACACGCTGCCCAGGAAACCTCGCACGTCCCCTTCAGCTTCCACCAGCGTCTCCCACTGCGGGTGTCGTTTGTGTGAGCACCACCTAGGGAGTTGCTCCAAGTCTCCAGCCTCCCTCCTTCCCTCTCTCCCCCAGACTCGACTCAACAGTTCCAGGGCAGGGATCGGAAACTCAAACACCTCCAGGAGCCAGGCGGGCCACATAAATGAGTGAACTAGCCAGGTATAAGGAAAGTCGACGGCCAGAGATATAATCAAATTGCATCTTTACTGAACTATGGTGAATGCACGGAACATAATACAAACATGTTTGGTACTGGAGTTTATATTTCAAATTCAAAGTTGAAAAAATACAAGTTGAAAAATAGATTTAATTATTAAAATTTCTTCTTTTCGTAATTCTTTTGCTCCTTCTCATTGAAGCTGGAGGGCTGACAGCATCCCTTCCGCCCCGAGGCATCTGCATCAGGCCCGGGGTGGCGCGGGGGGTGGGTGGGGTGGGTGCTTGGGAATTCAGCCTTGAATCCTGGGAGCGGTTTGATTTGATTCCGTTTTGTAACGGAAAACCGCTGTTCGCAAGCGGGGAACCTCCAAACTGGGAGATTCGGGACAACTACTGCAGCTGTAGGGCCTAGACCCTCCGGCAGAGCCACGCTGGGGACACAGCGCCCCACTGCACTGCGGCTCAGTAACTACACTTCGTCATCTGCGGGCACATGACCGACATTCACCGACAAAGGCAAGCCGGACGGTATCGGCTCATTTTCGGAGTCTGGGTGCAGAAAGCCTTTGGGGGAGCTTGGGTCTTTCACCCCACAATTTGGGTAAATACGGTCTGGGCCATGTCTTTTGTTTCTGGAAACCAACTGTAGCAAAGGAAACGGAGTCAGAGCGTTCCTTGCCCATGGCTTCCCCATTTTTGCCAGGACTGAGCAAACATGACCATACATTCAAGTAGCTGTTTGTGAATGTCCTTGAGGAAAAATAAGTGTTCAGAAGGGTCATAAGCTTGACTGACCTTTTCAGGGGAACCAAGGCGTGGCTTTTGCCTCATGTGAAACCAAGCAAGCAGATTGGTCTCAACAGTTCTGACTGTTCCCACACCATCACGTGACGCCCGGGTCACCGAGCTTCTGTGGAATACACTAGGTCAAGTTCCCCTTCCACCCGCCTGTCATTCAGGTACAGAAGCACATCGAGGACGTTCACAGTGTATTCCACTGACTTTCTCAGCACGATTCAATTCAATTGACACAACCACCTGACTTGTGTCCTCGCCAAATATCACCACCGTGGATGGCAGCGTGCTGCCTAATTCCCCTGCGACACAGATTCAGTCACCGCAACCGTCTGAGGCTGTGCTGAGAAACGCCGACCTGTCTACGTAAAGCCCTTCCATCAGTGCACACACAGTGTGTTGAGCCTGCCTTGGCCCCACAGCACAGGCTTCTTCGGCCGCGTGGAAATCCTCAACTTCACAAATAAATAAAGCTAACTGGGTGGAAATGGTTCATGCGCAGGGATAGAAAAGGCCACAACTAATGTGACTCTTTCGAGCAATCGGACTCGTAAGTCTTCTGATTTCTCGTCAACACGCCGTGCAATGCAGATGAACGCCTGTTAGGCCTCGACAGCTGTGCGTCTCCTCCGTCCAGGGCCCGCAACTCCACCACATTTCAAACTTGCCGTCTGTGGGAGGTTTTAATGCCCGGGTAACTCTTTCCATGTCATTGTGCAACTGCGTGTGGCAGCCGTGTGGTTTCTACTGGTGGCTTTCCAAACCCTACTGACACTTAAGACCCTTTTTCAGTTCATTGAGTATCGCATCTCGCGTCTGCTCTGTGTACTGGTCGAAGCTCTTACTGTGCTTTGATTCGTAATGACGTTTCAGGTTGTACTCTTTCAACACAGACATTATTTTTTTGCATATTAAACACGTAGGCATGCTCTTCACTTCCACAAAGAAATAGTCTCGTTCCCATTTTTTTCGAAACACGGGGCCCTCTCGTTCTCTCTTTGGTTGTGTCACTTTTGATAGAGACATGGGTATAAGAAAGATTTCACTTTCCTTCGCACGCTACCACAGGAACAACCACAGGGCAAGCCCGGTGGCAAAGGTGGGGGAGCCAAGAGGGAGTGGTGGGGACTGTGGCGAACTGGAGAGCACACGCCCCCTCGAAAGGGGCAGCTCCAGCCCGTTGTCGCAGGGCAGAAGGGCAGGCCCAGGATGCCAGGGCTTCTGACTTGTCAACAGAAGCCAAGAGTAAAGATTTTGTGTGTGTGCGTGTGTGAGAAAGAATCCTCCTGATTTTTACAACTAACTCATTAGAAAAAAAATACCACATAGGCTAACACAGGGAAGGCCAAACAAAACTCACCTGTAGAGTGGCCCATGGGCCACCATATTGCAACCTCTCTCCCGGGACAGGGCCTGGGACTCTAATGTTAACCAGCGTCCCAAACAATGCGCGTGCTGGTGGTCCGGATGCGGACCACGCTCTGGGCAACAGCGGCCTACAGTCTGATGACACACAGCGGACTCCGCCTCCAAGGAGCCTCCCACGCCGCCCACACCAGGGTCTACAGCCAGGCATCTCTCGGACGTCCTTCAGGTCCCTTGCCTCACTGTACCCCCAGCCTGCCTCCTGCTGGGTTTGCCATCTCAGGGACAGCCCCACTGTCCCCCTGTCCAAAGCCCCAGGAGGCAGGTCTCTGACTGGGACCTAGGCCCTCACTCTTTCCACATGCGACCCTGTCCACTCCTATGATTTCAACCACCAAACACAGACTGTCTCCTAAGGACACCTCATGAGCTCCCAACAAGCGGCAGCGGCCACCTGGGCACGCCTTGGACCATCAGCATTCACTGCTGGCTCGCAGTCACCTCACTCAGGGAAGCCCCACCATCAACCACAGCCAGGACAGGTCCTGGGGGCTGACATAAAGGCCCCCCACACCCCAGCCTCCTTCACGTGGCACGCCAGCCCCAGCCTCACCCCTCCTGCCCCCGACTCCGCCCCAGCTCCACCCCCCCACCCCTGGGCTCTCCTCTCCCCTGAGCCACCGCCCCAGCCTCCACCCTGTTAAAAGCCCCTGCTCGCACGTCCTCCTGTGGTTCCTGTGTCCCCAGGGAAGACGCCGAGCTGCTCAGTTTGCAGCCCGGGCCCTTCCCGACCTCGTGCCTGTCCATCTCTAGGCCGGCCCGCCCCCAGGCTCACCCCGCAGGTGCTGGCCCGCCCGCCCCGGGCACCCCAGCTTTCTCCTGCCCTCGCATACTTGCTTCTGCTTTCTCCACACCTGGGTGGCCTTCCTGGCCTCCCCGACTCCTGCTTCTCTTCCAAGCCCCTGCTGAGCCTGGCCGGCTCAGAGGCCACTTCCGAGCCCCCTCGGTACCCTTTCTGCCCCACGAGAGCACGTGGTCCCGTGAGCTCTGCCTGTGTGCCTCCGCCTCTCCCTGAGCCAGGCTGCCGCAGACTGCCTGGCTCGCTGCTGCCAAGGCCCCGGTGTCACCAGCCCGGGGCCCTGGGGAGGTCTGCTGGAGCGAGAACAAGGACAGAGATGTCTCCCCCTGGTCTCCTCCTGCCCAGTCCTGGGGACGTCAGTGACGGGAGCCGGGGCGCGTGTTAAAAGGAACTTTATTGGGTGCCGGGGGTTCAGATGAGATCCATGAGGATGTCGTCCTCCATGACGCTGGGCTGCAGGCCCGGCTGGGGGACCGGTCCCCGGGGACCCCCGCTCAGCAGCATCTGACCTGGGGGGCAGTGGGGAAGGGACTGCATCTCCCAGTAGCCCCTGGGGCCCTAGAGGGCCCTGGGGCTGCTTTCTCCCTCCTCCTCCGGGAGTCCAAGGCACTAAGTTGTCTGGGAAGTCCTGGGGGGACCCATCAGAGGCCCCTTCCGGCCCCATCTGGACATAAATGTGCTGTTTCCCATAAGCCGTTAGGAGCCCATCCCCCAAAATACCTCTCTAGCCCTGCGACTATGTTTCCCAGCAAACCCCAGAGGACAGGCAAGAAAGGAGCCATGGGGATCAAGAACCCCAAGGTCCTTGGTCCCCTGGCCCTCGCAGCTCCCCAAGAGCCAAGGGGCTTTTAATACCAGGACTTTATTTCCCAGGAGCCCTTGGTCTTAGGGCTCCAGCCCAGGGGCTGCTGGGACCCTCAGTCCAGACCCCTGGCCTCCCCCCGACCTCCTTACCTGGCAGTGGGGCCCGCGGGGGAAGCTGGGCAGGCCAGGACTGGGTGGGTGGCGGGTGCAGGAGCGGGGGGCCCAGCTGGGGCTGCCCCAGGCCCTGATGTGGCGGGGGCAGCAGCGCAGGGGCCCCTGGTGGCTGGAGGTGGTGGAGGGAAGCCTGTGGGGGGGGCACCCCGGTCTGGGGCTGGGGAAACAGAACGAGCGGCTCAGAGGCCCCCAGCGGGGAGGCCCCGCCCTACTGGGCAGCCTCTGGCACGGAGCCGCTCCGGGAACGGCTCAGGGAATGTCTCATCCCGTCATCTGCATGGGGTCTTTCTTCAAAGGAACCTCAGCGGAAACCCACCCAAGGGAGACACACAGCAGGGCTGGTGGGCCCGGAGCCTTTGGCGGGGCTCCCCTCCCACCCGTGGATCGAGCCAACCTCCCCGCGAGATGAAAGGTCTAGAACTGTCACCGCCCAGGACGCTGTTCCCAGCCGCCCCATCCCGCATCTCACCGGCGGTGGGTTGAGGAGGAGGCTGCGCAGCTGGGGGTTGGCCCCAGGATTCTGGGGCCGAAGGATGGGTCCAGAAGGGGATGGGCCGGGAGCCGCTCCGGGAGGGCCTTGGGCAGCGCCTGGGGGCGCCTGTGCAGCTCCCTGGGGCGGGGGCTGCCCCGCAGCTGCGGAGGCCCCCACAGCGCCCTGCGGCTGGGGCTGCGGTGGGCGGAGCTGGAGCTGGTGGGGAGAGATGGGGGTGAGGAGAACGGAGTCTCTAGACCAGGGGTCCCCAGGCCCCAAACGTGCCACACAGCAGGAGGTGAGGGGCGGGAGCAAGCGAAGCTCCATCTGTGTTTACAGCCGCCCCCTGTGGCTCACAGCCCCCGCTGAGCTCCGCCTGCTCTCAGATCAGAGGTACTTTCTCAGAGGAGTGCGATCCCTACTGTGAGCTGCGCGAGGGACCTAGGCTGTGGCTCCTTCTGAGACTCTAATGCCTGATGCTCTGAGGGGGAGCTGAGGGGGCGATGCCAGCGCCCGGGAGCAGCTGCCAATGCAGGTCACCACTGGCAGAGAGATGGGACCGCACAGGGACCACAGCAAATCAACTGCTAGCAGACCCACATCAAACCCTGCCAGGGGGGCAAGTGACAATGAAGCTGCACCTGGTGGCAGGCTATAAAGCCGTTCCCCTGACCCCGCCCCATGGTCTGGAAAAACTCCCCCACAAAACCGGTCCCCGGTGACAAAAGGGTTGGGGACCGCTGCTCTAAAAGCCCTCGGCCTCCACAGCTGGGTCAAAACAACAGTGTCCTCCGGGGCCCCCCCACCCTGGCCCTGACCCTGCTGGCCTTGTCCTCACCAGATTCTGCGAGGGCCTTGCCGGGTCCTCCAGAATGGGGCCCAGCCCGGGGGGCGCCTGCTGTGCCCCCATCTGTGCGGGAGAGAGGGAGCAGGTCAGCGGCTGGCCGTGGGTGGACCCGAGAGGACCGGAGCCCCAAAGGGGACCTGTCAGGCGCTGGGAACCTTTCCCTGGGGGGCGGGGGGGTCTGGCAAAGAAACTGCATCCCCGGGCCCCCAAGAGGAGGCCGTCTCAGACATCCCGTGAGGACACTGAAAAGGGAGAGGACGGGCGCGAGCACATGCAGGGGCGGCCTCAATGAGGGCGGCCACCTCTAGGGAAAGAAGTGCCTGGCCGTGGGGCCCCAGGGCGCCCCTGCGGGTCTGGCCATGCACACTGGGGCCCGGGGGCAGGCGCTAGGAGGGGGAGGCACAGGTCAGGGGATCCACTCACCCCGCGCTGCTGCTCCAGCTTCTGCTGCTGAACCTGCTTGTGGTTGGTGATGACCTGCCGGATGCCGTTGACGAAGCCGCTCTGGTCGTAGGGGATGAGGCCCATGAAGATCTTCTTCTTGGACGAGTACAGCAGCATGAGCACACGCACCTCGCAGGGCGCCGTGTGCGGGAAGTGCACGCAGCCCGCCTGGGGGGGGGGGGAGTGCCAGTCACGCCCTGGGTGGGGGGTGTCGGTGTCCCGCCCCACCTGGTTCTAGACGGCTCTGGAGACCCACAGTGAAGGAGCAGCAAGGTTTCTGCTGTGAAAGGGGGAGGACACTGAAGCTTTGCCTGAGGCTGCTCCAGAAACCACCTGAGAGCCTTCAAAGAGAGCTGGGGGCCCAAAGAAACAGGGCGAGGCAGGGTGGACAGGAAGCGCCCCAAACGGAAGGCTGGATCCCAGCTCTCCAATCTTGACCCCCCACCTGCCACCTGGGGAGGCTGTCCTCCTAAGGGCTGCCGGGGGCGGGGGGGGGGCGGGCTCACGGCTGAGGAGGGGGCTTCAACACAGAGCTGGTGCCTGAAGCACATGATCAATGGCGATGACCGATACCACTGACCCAGAGGATCTAAGACCTGGGTAACCACACCCTTCCTGGCCTCAGTCCCTGCCAGGGAGAACTGAGGACAGCAGCACTAACATCACAGGTTGCTATGACTACGGGATGCATCCATACACACCAGGCATCTTGCCTGGTTTGCGGGCCAGGTCCCCAGTTGGGGCACATCTCAGAGGCACCCAACTGATGTTTCTTTCCTTTATTTCTCCTTCCCTTCCCCTCTCTAAAAATAAAGGTCTTTAAATAAGTACATAAGTAAATAAGTGAGTAAATGCCTGCCTGCCCAACGTTCACTTTGGGGACACCCTCTCGGGGCAGCGGCCGCGCTGCGAGGAGGCCCCGTCTCACGCGGAGCCGCGCAGCCACTCTGCCCGCCGGGCGCAGCCCCAGCTCGCAGCCAGCCTGTGCGTGAAGCCTGTGCCTCCAGCCCACGTGAGCTTCCGGATGACCAGTCTCAGCCACCGTCCAGTGGGGCAACCCCGCAGAAGTTCCCGAGCAAGACTAGCCCAGCCGAGCCCCAGCTCCGTGAGAGAACAAAGCACTGTTTTAGGCACCTCCACCCCATCGTCTCCATGTCCCCAAAACTCTGCTGGTCGCGCGTGTGTTATTTGCAGCTGAAAGCATTCCTGACTCTCAGGATCGCTTTTCTCTGCGGAATGCTCCTGAGGGTTCCAGGAGTTAAGCCACCAAGAGGGCCCTGTCCTGGAAAAGTGCCAGGCCCACAGGACATCCTGAGTGGCAAGCCGGGTCTGTTCCTACTTAGAGGAGCCCTGCCTCAGTGTTATGAGTTGAACTGTCTTCCAAATACACGTGTTCAAGTTCTAACCCCAGCATCTGTAAATGTGACCTTACTGGGGAGCAAGATCTTTGCAGACCTAACGAGTTAAGATAAAGGCATTAGAGGGGGCCTCGTCCAGTGGCTGGTGTCCTCATAAGCAAACAGAGACCCCACAGGGAGGAGAACGCCTCATGGAGGCGCAGACACGCGGCATGGGGGGCGGGGGGCAGCAGCCGCGGGAAGAGGGAGGCAGAGACCGCAGCTTTGCTGCCCGAGGCCAGCACCGCCGGGGCTCCCGCCGCAGGAGGCCGCGCGGGTCCTCCTCGGCGCCCTCAGAGCGCACGGCCCTGCTGGCACCTGGCTGTCTGACTCCCAGTCTCCAGAGTTGTGGGGAGTAAACCACTGTTGCTCTCAGCCTCAGAAAACCAGCACTCCCGGTAAACCCAAGTCAGAGCCAACTTCTCCCCGACTGCCCTGTCACATCCGGTCGAGGCCACCACAGACAGGACTCCTTCCGGCGCACACTGTAACTATAAGGCAAGCCAGGCTCTGCAAGAGCCCACGCTCACACAGCCCCGCTGGCCATCGGCAACGGCTCCTTCGGGCCCCGGGGGACAGAGGAGGCAGCACCCCGGATCCCGCCGGGCCCGGGACTCACGAAGCCGTTGCCCATGATGCGGTAGAGGCCTTTGAGGGATTCCAGGTCCTTGTTGGTGAAGTGGAACTGGACCATCCTTGAGTTCCGGAACAAAGGGCCCAGCGTGGTCTGGGGAGACAGAGGTCAGCCAGCGTGTTGGGTGGGGAAGTGCGGAGGGCGGGCCAGAGGTGGGAGGGGCGGGGAAGGGAGGAGGGCAGAGAGGAAGGCCAGGGGTTGTGCTCCCCCGCCCGCCACTCACCAGGAGCTGCTGGGGGATGAGCTGCATGATCAGCTTCTGGGGCCACTGCTCTGTCTTCCTGGGGGCGACGCCGAGAGAGGTGTCAGGAGGAGGCAAGCCCCAGCCCGCCCCGCCCCCGACAGGGACCTACAGGTTCTCGCCGTGGTTCACATAGACCTGGCACGGCAGTGACCGTGTCAGCTTGGTGTTGGCGTCCACGGAGGCGGGTTTGGGCTTCTGAGGGGAAGAAGAGGGCATATTACAACAAGAAGGGCCCCGAGTCTCAGCCCCGCCGGCCCCTCCTGCTCGATCCTGGGAGCCCCAAAGCTCTGGATCTCCCCCAGTTTAAGTCTCAAGAGCCCTCGGCCCCTCCTCTGTACCATCAATCCCACAATCCTCTAACCTTCCACAAAGCTAAGCTCCTCCTCTTGCCCCCAACCCTCTGTCTCCCAGATGCGACCATCCCCTGGGCCTGCCTGGACCCCAAGTCTGAGACTTCTCATACCCTCACCTGCAATACAATTCTGACACCTCCTTAGTCGTGAATCTGGACTTCAATCCCGTGTTCCCTGGGACCTGGGCCCCGCCAGGTCCTGCCCTGTGAGACCCACCTGCCCGATGGCTCCTCAGGCCGACTCACCTCCTGCCACTCGAGGACTCCACTCCAGGCCAGGAGTTTGTTGGAGACCGACTGCTGCCCACCCAGGGCGGAGGCCCCCAGCTGGGCCGGGGAAGGGCCACTCGCCCCGCCTTGGGCCACCGTGCCTGCCTGCCAGACAGGAGGAAAGAGGGCGGCAAGGCGGGTCAGACTGTCTCCCAGGAGGGGCTGTGCCGAGAGAGGGGCAGGCCCGCACGGACAGGCTGAAGGCCTCTCCCCTCCGCAGGAAACCGGCCCCCCGCGAGGGAGGCGCTGTGATCCTGTCAGGTCCCAGGACTCTCAGAGCAGGAGTCCTGGGACCCGCCGAAGTCTCCACCCACCGGGAACCACTCGGCCCCCGGGTCCATCCCCCGAAGACCCAGAGCCGAAGACCCAGAGCCGTAAGACCCACGCCCCTGGCTGCCAGGGGGGAGGAACGGGGCAGCAAGCGGGGGCATGCAGACACCTACCATGGACGGGGCCCCAGGCTGTGCGGTGGGGGCCAGGCCCTGACCAGGAGCCACTGTGGAGACGAGGCTGGGCTGGGAGGCGGGAGACGGCTTGGGGGCACCAGGGGGCCCCTGGGGCAGCGAAGGGGCCTGGGCCTGGCTGAAGGGGGGACCCACGCCTGGAGCCGCTTGCTGGAGAGGGTTGATGGGCGAGACTGTGGGAGAGACCAAGGGGAGAAGTGGGGCCGGCGTGCGTGGGGAGAGGCCTGGCTGACCCCCGCCGGCCGGGTACTTGCGCCGTGGGACTCACAGCGCGGGCCCAGTCCCGCCTTCTGGCTCTTGGCGGCCTCCACGGCATTCTGAGCGGCCACCTGAGCCGCGCTCAGGTTCCCGGGGACCTGGGGATGGAGGGGGAGCCCGTGAGGACCGTGCCACAAGCCCCCCGCCCTGTTGTCACACGGGGCCGTGCCACCCACACCCCCACGAGGCGCAGGCACCCTGACTCCAATGCCACGGGAGTGCGCGACTCCCACGGCCGGGCAAGAACGTGACCCCTCAGCCCCCGCAGCCCCCGCCTCCTCCCTTATCAGCAGAGACCCCCGTCACCGCGCAAGCCCGAACGCTGAACCAGGGCTCCCCCGAGGGCCCAGGGCCCCCGCCTGCCCGCAAAGCGCGCGCCTTTCCCGGTGACATCGCACCTGGTACTGCTGGGGCACGGGCGGCAGAGGCTGCTGGGGGGCTGCTGAGAGCGCAGAGCCCGAGGCTGGAGCTGGAGGCAGGGGGACCGGCTGCTTCGGCTGGAGAGGGCCTGGGGCCGAGCTGCCCCCGACTGAGAGCCGAGGATGGACAGCCGAGCCCCGCGAAGAGGGTTTGAGGGGGAGAGAAAATCCAAGTCAGAGGGCTGCAGCCGGTGAGGACACCCCGCAGCCCCCGCCGGCGCCCGGGCCTCACCCGGCAGCACAAGCCCCCGCACCAGCACCATGTGCCGAGGGTCCTGGCTCACGTCCGCGGGCGGCTGCAGCGGCTCCAGCATGGCCGGGGGCGCGGCCTTTTCGAACAGAAGCCGCAGGGCTGGCAGCTTCCGAGGAGACACGATGGAGAAGTGGATCCCTCGCTGCAGGAGAGAGAACGGCAGTCAGGACAGGGCCGCGGCGGCCAGCCCCCAGGCCACCACACGCACACCGGCTGGGTGGCAGGGTGGGCCCTAAAACCAAATCCCCCGAGAGTCTGATGGGAATCAGAGTCAGGGGACCATGAGACCGGTATTAGCTGCCCCGGGGGATTCTGGGTTACAGTTCTTCCAGCCTGAGGGAGCAGAGCCAGCCACAAAGCCTGTGCCCCTTCTGTGACCTGGATGTCCAGCCCCGGCCCTCCTCCCCCAGACCCGGCGTCCTCACCTCCCCGATCTTCTGCACGAGACTCTCCGTCGTGCACCCAGAGTAGGTGGTGCTCTCGACGGCGGGCAGCAGGTACGGGGGTGAGTTACAGATGAGGAGGCAGACGCGGTGGGTCTGGCCGCTGCCGGGAGCAAGGGGAGCCGTGGAGCAGGCGGCAGCGAGGCCCGGAAGGGGGCCGGTCCCAGCACAGCAGGGGAGCCGGTGCTCGCCCTGCAGGGAGTCGGGAGGCCGGCAACCCCACCTGACAGCTGAGAACACCCAGGCTCTGCGGGCCCGACCCACGCACAGCCGCCCAGCAGGCAGGCGAGACGGGCGCCAGACGCCCCTGGGTCCCACCAGGGGACACCACCTGATTCCCAGCCCCAGCTCCCAGGGTGAGGCAGGAGGTGGAGTCCTGCGGCAGGCAAAGCGGGCTATGAGCCAACACGCGCCGTGAGCCCACACGCTGGGCGCACTCACATCTGCTCCCGCATCTTCTTGAAGTCGTCGAACAGCTGCAGCGCCGTGCTGAGGCCCTCCGCGATGAGGCTGCAGCTCTCGCCGCCCCCGCCCATGAACCTGCACGAGGCCAGGCCGTCAGCCTTCGGGGTCCCCACGGCACCCAGGGCTGCCACCTCCCCGGCCGCAGGCCACCCCTGAAGAACCTGCACCCACGCCATCCCCTACCCCGCCTTGGGAGGATGGGGACACTGTCGCGCTCCCTGCTCTATCTGCATGCTGGGACTGCCACAGGCCCAGAGAACGGGGGACGGGGCACGGGTGGGGGGGGCGCAGCTGTCATCTCCTGCGAGGGAGTCCCTCTGGGGAGAGGCCCCATCAGAGGACAGAGCAGGGAAAGGGCGTGGGACCCTGGGACCCTGGGCTGTGTCCCAGCCCGTGTCCCTCCTTTTGCTGGGCCATCGCAGCATCTGTAAAGCCAGCCCCGGCCTCGCCTCCCCGGCCCGTGCAGGGCCTCCTCTCCCGCCAGTGCGACGGGCCGGACTGCGCCCCCGAGAAGAGATGCGTCCGAGCCCTATCCCCGGGGCCTGAGAATGCGACTTGTTTGGAAATCGGGCCTTCGCAGAGGCGGCCAGGCCACGGTGAGGGCGTTAGGATGGGCCCTCATCCAATGTGACCCATGTCCTTATAATAAAAGGGGGACGTGGGACAGAGACGGACACACTCAGGGCAAAGACGATGTGGAGACACAGGAAAAACACCACGTGGAGACTGGAGTGACGATGCCGCCAACCAAGGCGTCTCCAGGGTCACAAGAAGCTGGAAGAGGCTGGAAGGCGCCTCCCTGAAGGCTCCAGAGGGCGCCGCGCCCTGCCCACCCCCGACCTGGGCCTCTGGGAGGCTGGCCTGCAAAACACCACGTCCTGCGGCTCTGGGCCACCGGGCGTGTGTGACCGCATTAGGGCAGCCCTCAGGGAAGGGGACCAATTGGTCTGAGCCATCACCAGGGTGTGCCTGAGGACACACAGGGTCTCAGAAACACCTGCTGGACAAGGGAGCAGAGCAGCAGCCGGGCCGACGTCACTGCGGCCAAGCTCCCCTGGGTTTTTCCCAGTTGCCGGCTTTCGCCCTCTGCTCCCAGTCCACCCTATGAGCTCAGCGACGCCGTCCCCTCAGGGCACTCAGCCCACCCCACTGCTCCCTACCGCTCCCCAGCCTCCTCTTCTGCACCATGAAGGCACTGTTTAACACAGGAATTTAAATGCTACCCAGCTGGGACAGACCAGAGTGAATGAACCAACCCCGAATCCAGGTAACTGCCAGCCTGCTGTTCTGAAAGTAGTCAGGCCTGGCCCTGGCCGGTAGCTCCGTTGCGTAGAGCATCGCCCCGATACCCCAAGATTGTGAGTTCGGTCCCTGGGCAGGGCACATAGAAGAATCAACCAGTGAGTACATCAATAAGTGGAACAACAAAGCAATGTTTCTCTCTCCCTCTCTCTAAAACAATCAATCAATACATTTTTTTAAAAAATCAAAGTAATCAAACCACTGTTTTGTGGGTCTGAGACTTGAGCCTGAAGTGTCCTGGCTGGGGCTGAGGGGAGGGAGAGGGGACAGTTCCTTCACGCACACAGGGTCTCCTGTGTGGCGGAGATGTTTTAGAACCGGACAGAGGCAGTGGCTGCGCAGGATAAATGGGCTTAAATGTCTCTGAACTGTTCACTCTAAAATGATTACTTCTGTAATATGAATTTCACCTCAAATTAAAAAGGTAATTTATGCGGGAAAGTGTGATTGATCAACCACTTTGCAATCCTACAACTTGCTCCTCATTGAGCACCGAGCATAAGCCATCTGTCACCCGCCTGGGGAGAGATACGTAACAGACATTCTGTCCAAGAAATGAGAAAAACCTGAAAACAAAAAGCAGGGGAAAAAATACAGTCGGTTGGAAAATGCATGTTCAATATCGTGAAGCTGATGATACACCCCAGTTCCAAATAAACCCCTTGACGTTACAGACACAAAGTGAAAGGAAAACGAGCGGAAAGCGGTCGGCTCTGAGCCTTACTGCTTCCTCGACCTCTGCCTCCCCCGTCTGTCCAGCCCGGTGTCACACCCTCGAACCTTCACTGCCCACTTTCACGGGCGGACATGTGCTGGAGGCCCCTGCCTGGCGCGTGTCCCCGACTCCTCAGTGCCTAGGACGATTTGCCCCACCAGTGTCGGGTGAATGAATGGGCGAATGACCAAATGAACAAATGGACTGTCACGACACCAGGAGGAAGACTCACGGGGCCCCTTCCTTCTACTTTCTTCTTTCTGACCCGAGCCACCGGGCTCAGAAGTGGGGGCGGGGCGGGGGGTCCACCTCTATTGTAAGACAGGAAATGTGACATCAGAAATGGATCTTCCCAAAGCAAGGTCGTTTCAGAAGTTACACTGCCTGCTTTGTTCCTTAAGTTCCAGACATTCCTGGGTAAGATAAGATTTCTCCAAGGGTGAGCAAAACTTGCTGACTCGCTCTGTGATCTGTTACAGACCTGCCTGGGACATCGCAGGAACCGAGCTTAGATGGTTACACAGGACTTGATAAAAACAAGGACAACCGTGAATGTGTAACAATAGCTTAAAATGTTTTACTGACTGATCGGGAGGATCCCACGGTGTGCACACAGCATACCAAGCTTTTTCAGCTGCTTAAAGATACAGTGTATGAAGAGAAGGGAAGATACTCGAGAAAGGTATTGAGACGGCATCTCCCTCTCAACTTCCTACTGCTCCTGAAAATTTTTAATAAGAGGATTTCACTGCTTTTCCCAATACACCCATCGGATGATTTGGTTTATGGGTGACTGTCTTCCCTCTAGCTGTCACTCATTCATGTCTGCAGCCAAGGTTTCCGGAGGCCTCCCGGGTGGCAGGCCCCAGCTGGATGCAGACACCTAAGGTCCTGGACCCTCACGGCCCAAGGTGCGGGGTTGTGACAGGTGAACGCCCTGGAGTGATGGGGGCAGAGGAGGGAGCAACTGGCCGCTTGCCAGATCGGGGAAGGGGCACCTAAGTTGGGCCCTGAAGCTTACGTAGGACTTTACCAGGGACAATCAGAGTATGAAATGAATTCTGGACATTCATTCATTCACTTGTTCAACAAAGTTTTCCTCCGGTCTCCTTTGTGCCGGTCCCTGTGCTGGGTGCTGGGGACTGAGGGACATCAGGCTGGCCTGGGACCTCAAAGGGCCCCCACTTAACACTATTCAAGTCTGTCTATCAGTCTATCCCCGCTGGTTTGAGCTCGGGTTGATTTTGCCCTCCCAGCCCCCATCCCGCCAGGGCACACCTGACAATGTCTGGAGACATTTTTGGTTGTCACAATCTGGGAGGGAAGTGGCTACTGACATCTGGTGGGTACAGGCCAGGGAGTCTACCGAACTACGCACAGGTCAGCATCCAGAACAAATGACCTGCACCAACGGTGCAGAGGTTGAGAAACCTGCTCTACCCTGACCACCAAGTCTAAGGGCCACAAGGGGGAACCTGGGTGGCACCTTCCCACTGAACCTTCCCTGCCCAGGTGCGCGCACACGACCTGGAACAAAGCGCGCACTCAACAAACACGCACTGAAGGAACACGCAAAGGAACAGCTGTCACAGAAGGGCGCTGTTTAACATGCTCCGGCCACAGGGCGCAGGCCCGCTCCTGGGATCCTCCCAAGTAGACAGGGACTACTGCCTTCCGTTTGCAAACCGAGACACCGAGACAAGAAGTAACAGCAAACACTCAGGGAGCACTGCAGGCATGCCAGGCACTGTTTTAAATCGTCAGCTCATTCAGTTCCCACTGTATTCCCAGGAAGTCATGGTCGCTGGGCTCCCAAAGACGCCCGCCTCCTGCTATTCACACCCCGCCTACACTGAACACGGCTGGCCTGTGTGCCAAGCAGCACGTGGCAGAGGTGATGCTGTGCATCTCCCAAGACTTGGTCATAAAAAGCCTGTGGTTTCCTCTTTCTCTTTCTCTTGCGGGTGCCCAGTGTGAGGAAAGCCAGCCGCCACGTTGGGCAGACACACTCAAGCAGCCCCATGGGGAACCCTGTGTCAAACAACCAGCAAGCCATTGAGTCCTCCAGCCGACAGCCAGAGTGTGAGCCACCCTGGAAATGAGTCCTCTGAAGACTCCATCAAACGGCTGGATGGCTGCAGCTGGGGCTCATGGTGACTGCCACCTCACGAGAGACCCTCCCTGACTCAGAGCTGTCCAGCTAATGCGCCTAAAGTCCTTACAGAAACCACATGAGATAATACGTGTGTTTTCTCAAACCACCAAGTTTTGGAGGAAACTCTTGCATACCGGTGGATTAGTAATACAGTAACTAATACAAGTGCAGATGCTCCTCAACTTACAACCATACAAACCCATCACAAGTTGAAAATGTACTTAACCTACTGAACATTGTAGCTTTGCAAAGACGATGTTTATGATGTCCCTATTGCGTTTGCATCATTGTAAAGTCAAAAAAATCTAAAGTCAGGGACCACTCGTACTATTACCACGCCCCCTTTAGAGTTGTTATATTGGGCACAGAGGGGACAGGGACTCCTGGGTACGGGACTTCTGCTGTGGCCCTGCTGTGATTTGGCCCCAGGCTGCCTGCACTTGGCAAGAACCCGCAATGGAACAAAACCCCGTCCAAAGCACAGAAAACTCCATCCTGGCCAGGCCGCGTCCCCTTTGCACTCAAGCTTCAACGTGCCCGTCGGAGACACGAAGACTGGAGTAGAGATGAGAAACAGCGAGGGAGAGTGGAGAACCACACGCCGGGTACCAAGGGGGTCCTGGAGCTCAGGGCCAGTTTAGAAGTTTTTTCTGCTTCCAAACCGAAGGGCAAAATTGCTAGGCACGCAGAACCCACCACGGAAGTGACTCGTGGACAACACCACAATCCCCCATAGCTGAAACTCTCCTTTCAGTTCCTCAGTGTGACCCCAGCCACGACCCGTTCACAGTCCATCCCATGGTCCCCCAACCCATCCCAAGCACAAAAGAAAAAAAACAAAACAACTCACTTAATGCCGTCGAGCCAGGTGACGAACTCATAGGCGCTGCTGGTGGGAGCGTGACACTGTACGTAGGACTCGGGAGCGCAGTCCACCGTGTTGAACACCACCAGGCTGTACTGGGTCCCCCCATACTGGAAGGGGAGGGCAGAGAAACTTTTTATCTGGGACCTCAGGGGAAGAGTCGCTACCAGCTCCCTCCTCCCTCGGACCCAGGATCCGGGTCCGGCCCCTCTCTCCATCCCTCGGACCCAGGGACCCCGGCCCCTCCTCCCCCAAGACTCAACAGTCCCAAGACTCACGTCTCCCCCGAAGTCCGTCTCGGCAGGAGGGCCACCATTAAAATACCTGGGAGGAACGGAGGTTATAAGTTGGGGTCAGGCAAGAGCCTGCGGAAAACTCTAGGAGGAAGGCAGAACTGGAATCGCGGAAATGGCACTCACTCGATGGCCGGGAGCAGGTAGTGCTTGCGGAGCCCCTCGAAGTAGGGTCCCAGGTTGGCCGTGCCCTCAATCACAAACACCACGTCAGCCACCAGGCCCCCGGCGCGGGCCGGGCCCTCGGACCCGGGGACCATGCCCCGCGAAGTAGACGCCACCGCGGCCACAGCCTCCGCGGGACAGGCGGAAGTGCGCCTGCGCGGCGCCTGCGCGCGTGCCGGAAGGCTTTACGCTGCTGCTGACGCCCCTGCGGCCATGATAGTGAGGGGCCCCCGGGGCCGGTGGGTTCTGTCCCCATCATCATTCTCACTCCCAGCTTGCGAGAGTCGGAAAGGCCATAGCGAACAACTTCAAGACCTCATGTGAAATAATGTATTATTGGCGAGACTGTCGAGAGCGAAAGTGTTGAAAGCGGCACCGCCAGCTGACCTGTTTGAGCGGGGCGCTTGTTCCGACTCTGGTATTAATGGGCGGATCTGGGGACCTGGTTGCTATGCAACGTGCACGCTGCCCCCCCCCCCGCCCCATCCCCGCGCCTAACAGAGAGGTTTCCAGTTCTCTCTGGAAAAGGGGGATGGGGAGTGTGAAGGGTCCAATCACTTCCTCCGAATCGGGGTAACTGGGCAACACTTTAAGGTCGCCGTCAACTCGGCAGTGCAGCTGTTTTATTTTTCCACCCCGGCTCCCCAGTGGAGGTTGCTAGGTAACACCTGATAGTTGTTTTCTGGGAGAGGGGCCAGAAACTGGCCTCGAACGTAAATGCATTCCAGGTGGATTAAAAATGTAAAGGCAACAAATGGAACCATCCATAAAAATATCTGAAGGAATAAGAAACACGCTGCATAATCCCGAAGACTTTAAAGAAGTTTCTTATCATTACAGCAAAGCCAGAAAATGTAAAATACTGATTTGTCCGCAAAAGACTCCATAAACTAAGTTGAAAAAAACGATCAACTGGGGAAGTCATCTTAACATGTGTTGACAGAAATTTACTACACAAATACATCTTACTAATCAATAAAAACTTAGGAAAATTAAAAAAAAAAATTTTAATGGAAAGGGTCCTAAGCAGGTTTTTTCACACCCACAAATTAAAATAGCAAATAAAGATCTGAAAACTGATCGTGTTCGCCAATGAAAAAGTGCTAATCGAAAGTCCAATAATATAGCCCTGGCTGGAGTGGTTCAGGGGACTGAGTGCCCGCCTCTGAACCAAACAGTCGCCAGTTCAATTCCCAGCCAGGGCACATGCCAGTGTTGCGGGCCAGAACCCCAGCTGGGGGCTCGTGAGAGGCAAACACACACTAATGTTTCTCTCTCTCTTACTCTCTTCCTTCCCCGAAATAAATAAAAATAAAGATCTTCATTTTATCAAGTCCAATAATACAGCATTTTACCTTTGTCATGTTAACTAATATTGGGAAGAGCAATCTCCATGAGGGCGGTGAAATGAGAAGGCTCAGACAGGGTCTAGTGGGGGCGTAAATCAGGACAAGTTGTTCCAATGCAGTTTGGCAATATTTGACAAAAGGGTGCATATCCTTTGCACGCCACACTATCACTGTTTTCTCACACTTCCACGATCCATTTTCTTTTTTATTTTCTTTGCTAACGCCTTTTAAATCCCCAATATCATATCATTTTATCTCTACATGCTTAAATGCCATTTCTAAAAGCTTCCCCCCCCCCACATAACCACTATGCTATTATCACCCCTAACAAAATTATTTCTTAGTTTAATCTAATACTAAGGCCATATTCAAATCTTCCCATTCTTTAAAAAATATCTTTTTTTAAAAAAAAATACAATAAAGATTAAATAAAATATATTTTTTTACAATTGCGGTGTTTGCCTCAGGAGCCAAAGAAAGACCAAACATATCTCAAATTTCTTTCAGTCTAAATGGGCTCCTTCCTTCTTTACGCCAGATTGTCTCAATTTTGAATAAAATTAGAAAGGAAAGTAAAATAAAGGAAAAATGGTCAATAGGTAAGAAGATTAAAATGGTACCTAAAATAAAAATCTGCCCTCTTAACTCTAAGGAAACTGCTATTTAAAAAAAGAAAAAGCAAGATTTTATTTATTTTTAGAGAGGAAGAAGGGAGGGAGAAAGAGAGAGAAACATCAATGTGCGAGAGATGCATCAATCGGCCGGCAACCCCGGCACGTGCCCTGACTGGCAATAGATCCAGCCACCTTTTGGTTTGCAGGCCGGCATTCAATCCACTGAGGCACACCAGCCAGGAGAGGAGGAAACTTTTATCCAGATAAGGTAAACGTACGATTGGTTGAATGAAATGATTTTTAACCATTTCCATTAATGTGCTACAAATGGTAAAATAATTAGATATTTCGAATGGGACTTCAGCTTCTGACATGATGGTGGAGATGGTCTTCAAGAGTCTCTTCCACCCCTCAAAATAAACAGAGAATCATAAATTAACAAAAAAAAAAAAAAAAGGCGGGGGGTGGGGCGGGGATGGAGTAGAACTGCCCGCGCTGTGAAGGGGCTGGGTTGGGGTTACTAAGGGCCTGAAGGCAGCCGTGCGCTGGAGCGCTGACTCTCTCCAGCTAAGCGAGGGCCTTCGCAGCGGAGTTAGTCCCAAACTGGCAATACTTCTAACAACTGCGGAGGAGTATTTTCACATCCTGCGTGATACACTCTCATGTATAACTTCACTACAAAAATCATATTTTTGTGATACTGTTAACTGAAGGATTTCATCTTCCTTTTTCTCATAGTAAAAACAACCATCTCCTTTGGTGGTTACTTGGCAACGACTACTGGACCAAACCATCCTCCAAGGTGAGGGGGGGAGCTGGAGTTTCTCTCGATTTTGCTCTAAGAAAGGGTGCTCCAGATTCCTCATGAGGTTAGCTTTGAGCAGCACACAGCTGTTCACAGTTTAGGATGGAAATTAAGACCGAAGGATGGTTGCTAGGCAACGCTTGGCACCGTCCACATTTGACTGGAGCACAGCTGTTTATCAATTTACCTACCTGATGGTTGCTAGGCAACGCCTTGGCCTGGTTACTACCGTGGAGCCGGGCTCTTCTGTAAATAACTGAAGTTAAACTGTTACCTAAAGGGTGAAAGTCCCCTTTTCGAGGACACCGAGTGGGGCTCCCTTCGGTTTGGTGTCATAAAGCCAATGAGGAGACTTTATGTATTAACAGCGCAAACTTCACTCAGCGGAGAAGCAAGTGCCCCGCTCTCAAATCCGTCCATGGCTGGCACAATCTCCTGTATCCCAAACAATTCTCCACTCTGCTCTTTCTTTTTTTATTATTGATTTTAGAGAGATATAGAAAGAAATACTGATTTGTCTAGTTTTACGGATTCATCGGTTGCTTCTTGTAAGTGCCCCGACCAGGGATTGAACCCGCAACCTTGGCGTGTGGGGCTAACACCCTAACAACTGAGGTGCCTGGCCAGGGCCTCCTCTGCGCTTTTAACCACACCCATTGGCGTCTGCAAAGGTCAGGGAACGGTCGCTCCTTTTGGGCTGCCCGGCGCTACCAGGCTGACCCCTAGGAGGCAGCAGAACCACACATCCACTTCCAACCGCAGAACCACTGTTCATGGGTAGTGCGCGGGTGGCCCTTCTTTGGGCGGTTTAGGGAAAGGCTAGGCCAGGTCCCCTGGCCTGTAAGGTTTGCACACCAAAGGAAGGTCTGGGTCCCATAGGACAGATACGGGTGGGCAGGGTGGAGCCCGTGGGACAGAAGTCGGATTGAGAGCACAGTTCTTTAGAGCCACTGGCTGAGAAGGGGACGTTTGGGGATGTTGACGACATACCCGGCAATGTTTTAGATTTCCTTCTGCGGCCATTGCTTGGGAGAGGCACCCCTCGGTAGGGGAGCAAAGCTGGCTGGTGGAGGGCAGGAAGGGGGAAGGAGACGGATGCACTCCATGTATGTAACTCAGCAGGTAACCGCACGAGGGCAACCTATGTGACTTTGTCTTTCAGGTTCCGCACAAGGAAGTTATTGAAGTCTTAGGGCTGGAGTCTGCTTGTGAGGCCTGAGGGGTGACTCGTCCGGCAGAACAGTAGCCTGAGGTCTGGCAGAGGCTCACAGGAGTACTGTGAGCCCTGGGTAGCCTCAGGGTCTGGGCCCGAGGCCTCTTTCGTCCCTGTGTGATGGACTCAAGATATTATTCCCTGTAACTCAAGGGCAGAGTTGGTAGTTGGAATGACTAAATACGGCCCCTTCCATTTGCGCCCTAACTGGTCTTGGGGTCCGTTCTCCCTCTAGATTGTTTAGATAATCCCAATACCCAGGTTGGAAGGCATGCAAGCTCAGATCAGACAGTGAGGGTAGTCCTTGGTTTCCAAAGGTCTTCAGGACTTTGGCTACTTCCCCGATGTCAGTGGTGAACCTCAGCTTACCCAGGTGGCAGAGGCTTGCTTGACAAGCAGGCTCGGGTGAGACAGGCCTGCCATTTGGACTTGGTTGAAGTGTCCCCTTTGGGGCTACCCATAATCTTAACAGGGCTATGGCGGGGGCGGGGGGCGGTGGTGCCCAGGGGAAATGGGCCTCCTGGCATACTTTAGCTAATGTTTGTTTGCTTTTAAAGATTTTATTTATTTTTAGAGAGGGAGAAGGGAAAAAGAGAGGGAGAGAAACATGGATTGGTTGCCTCTCACACACCCCCACCTAGGGAGCTGGCCCTCAACTGAGGCATGTGCCCTGACAGGGAATTGAACCCGTGACCTTTCCATTTGCAAGATGATGCCCAACCCACTGAGTCACACAAACCAGGGCTAGCTACGGTTTTTGTTTTGAATGTCTTAATAGCCCATTCTACGTTTCCCGATGACCGAGGCCTCCAAGTGGTGTGGAGAGATCATCTGATGCCTAAGACTAGAGGTGCTCTTATTAATGGCTGACAGAAAGGCTGTCCCATTATCGCTTTGTATTGATCGTCGTAAACCAAATCTTAGGATGATTTCTTTTAAATCATTGAAACCTCTAATGGTGGTTTCGGTTTGGGTGGCAAATGCCTCTACCCACCCTGAAAAGGTGTAAGTACTAGTAGGTATCTAGAATGTCCTGGAGCCTTCGGTGTCACCGTAACATCAACCTGCCAACCATCACCAGGTTGGATGCCTGACGTTGGTCTGGGTGGACATGTTTTGCAGGGGCCCTAGTGGGGTGGGTGTTAGGGTTGTTCACATAGCAGGCAGGGCTGCTTCAGCCACTTCTTGAACGA